TACCTTTGCCTCCCTTCCTTCCGGCTGGAGACCCCTCTCCCCCTGCCCAGGCTCCAGCAGTGCTCAGTAAATCCAAGCTCCCCAGACCTGGCTTCCTCTCTCTCACCTCCGGGCTGTTCTCTTCTCTCCCCCGCCCCCTCGGTACACCTCCCACTGGTTAACTCCCGCTCAGCTTGGACTGAAGCATTCGATGGATTCAATCTGGAAGCATTCCATGACCAGCTGCCCCCCACCCAAGGCGGGGGGCAGGTGCTTGTCTCACGGCCCCCACGACCGCCTGTGCCCTCCTGCGGGGCTGGAAAAGGCCTGAGAGGAAGTGGTCTGTGTCTCCAGCCTCACTGTGCAGCCCGCTGGCTGGCCCATGGCAGGCACACAGTGAAGGCTTGGTGAGTAAATGAACGCAAAAGATGAATTGATCAGAGTGTTAAAATTGTTAAGAAGTTTAAACCTGCCCTCTCTTTTACACCAAGCCTGAGTTCATCGAAAACTCCCCCACAAACTGACCTCTGGTCCACGCCGGCACTTGCCACAGAGCCCTTTACAAACTGCACACAAAGGCAGGGAGGCAGGCGTCCGGGCAGGCTGGCCACGGGACGCTGCCATGCCCCAGGCACAGCGCACCTCTCAGCCCTGCGCCCTTTCCAACCCAGCCCTCAGAAGTGGACAGGTTCAAGAAATGTCCGTATAAGGCTCTGGCTGGGCAGCTCAGTTGGTTAGAATGTGGTCCCTGTACACCAAGTTTGCAGGTTCAATTCCCAGTCAGGGCACATACAAGAATCAACCAATGAGTGCATAAATAAGTGGAACAACAAAATCAGCATGTGTGTGTGTGTGTGTCTCTCTCTCACCAATAAATAAAAATTTTGAAAAAGAAATGTCTGTATAAACACTGTATGGTTTGTTCCAGTAAACCTGAACTGCAGAATCATTCCTCTCAGTTTTCCAGGGGAGAAAGTGAGGCACAGGCAGGGGATGTGCCTCTTCCAAAGAAATGGATCAAGTCAGCAGAAGAGAAGAATTAGCTCTCTAACTGCCCAGAAATCTCACTCCAAAGCACAGACTTCAGCCTGGATTGTGAGAAGCACAGGCAAGGATTCTGGGTACCCACAGCCCAAAGCCTGTTTTCCAAACCCTTCCTTCTTTCTCTTAAATATCACGGGTGAGGAGGAAGTGCCGGATCTGAACGTTTATTTACCATTCCTTAGCCTGACCTTCCAGGAAGAATGGTCACTAATGAGAAACAATCTACTTGGGCTCCCAAACCCAGAATTTTCATAGGGATCAATTTAGAATTTCAGAGTCTAAACAGGGCAAGGGTAATATGCACTATCTTCCCTTCAAAGGAAAAAACAACAACAACTGAGTTTTTCCGGCCTGGAAGGAAATGTTGTATGTGTCAAACAAACGTCAGATGTGAGGTTACATCTTTCCCGTTGCTCCGACCCCTTTGGGAGAAAAGGAGGGCATTCGTCTTCATGGGGTGCAGGCTGGGGAAGTCGAAAATCAAAACAAAGAGCTGCCTGGGACTGGAGTTTCCCAGGTTCAAGAACTGACCTTACAATGGAGGCTGAAAGCTAGGAGTTCTGTTCTGGGGACCAGATTCCTTCTCATCCAAATGGTCATTCTCATTCTGGCGAGACACTGCCATCCCCGCAGAGTGTGCGCGCCATGGAGACAGGGCGCCTGCCTCGCCCTCTGCTGTACCCCGGTGCCAGCCAATGCCTGCCACACGGTAGGTCCTCCTATTAAGTGAACGAATGAAACCATTAGCCGGTGGGAAACAGTTGCATAGAAACAGCTAGTCGGTATCATTTCCATTTTAAAAGTAATATTTCTCAGCAGGTGCCGAGATTTTTAAGATTTTTTTCATGATGGGACCTAGGATTTTCGGGATCACCTGGCCTGTTCATCTCCCTGGCTCTATGGACGATACGCCAGTGACAAAGGTTATTATAAATCCAACTGGTTATTCAACAGTGTACATGGTGAACTTCCAAGTGCTCTTTAAACTCTGCCTCGCATCTGGCTGGGGCGGTGGGTCATAAAACCTCTCAGGTGTGAGATGCACTGTTTCATTTAGTCTCAGCTTCGCAGAAACCCCTCTCCACCCACGTCGGAGCCGCCACAGCTGGTGCTCAGGGAGGCTGCGGCGTGACCCCATCCAGGGCCAGCTCTGTGCCTCCCCCTCTCTGGCCTCAGCGCCTTCCCTTTGGTGGGAGACCACGGATGTGGATGCAAAGTCTGGTTCTGCCACTGAGTGGCCGTGTCCACCCTGGGCAGCTGGCTCCCTCAGGGGCCTCAGTCTCTTTCCCTGTGAAACGGGGACAACGGTGCCTCCCTCGTGGTGTTGTTGGGAGATGTAAATAAATCGGGGATACAGGCCATGGGAGGTGGCGCCTGGCACGATGTAAGTGCTATGTGTTAGCTAATGCTTTTGTCTGACAATGAGGGTGCTGGTAGTTCTCCAGGACCTCTCAGCCCTCCTGGGAAGGAAAACTCAGCAACTAGGTTGCCACCTTTTTTTTTTTTTTTTTTTTTTTTTTTTGGTGCTTTCTATGCACCTGCCCTATCAGAGCCTTTCTGGCCGTATATGGATCAAGATAAGGGTTTGCACTAGTGATTTAAAAGGGGAACAGCAGAGGCTCCTCTGGTACCGTCTTGCATGCTCCTAGGACAAAGCCCTCCCAGAAGGGCAACTCCAGCTACCCCGTCCAACCCGAATGTACGGCTGGGCTCCCTGCCAGCTCCGTTCACTAGGCAGCACCACCTCAGACGGAAACGGGTCTGCTCAGAGCAGGAGAATGGTAGGGGGAACTTCTGGGCTTGGTGGGGCGTGTGGAGGTCCCCAGGTCTCCCTACTCAGCCCCAGCCTCTGGCCTGTTCAGTCTGGGTCCGGAGCCTTTTCCAGCCATTCAGCAACATAACCCAGAAATCTGGGCTGCTGTTTCTGACTACTGTCATGATAATAATAATAATCTCTCAAGTTAATACCGTTCATCAGATCCATCGAAACTTGAGCGTTTTTCAAATATCCCTCGTCCGCATGTACTGCCCACGTTTATGATGAGGAAACTAGGGCTTGGTGCATCACCCGAGGCGAAACGCTTGGCATTTAAGCCAGGCTGCCTCGTTTAAACTGTTGGTGGGGACGCTTCTCCTCGGTCACACTTGCATCTTCCACGGTAAGCTGCTTGACCCCTTTGTTAAATAGATGGCGGTGTCCTGACTCAACACGGCATCCTCCTAAACGGAAGACCAATATCCACAGCACAACCCAGTAACTCTTGAAAAACGTTATGAATGGTCCAAAGAGATCACACAAGTTGTTTGCCCAGAGCTGGGATCCACTGGATCCCATAGAATGGATCTCCCGGTGAGGTCAGAGAGGAACTGGATTCTGAGCTGAGCCGCCCCCGGGGGCTGGAAGCAGCAGCCCCAGGTGCTCCCACCTCACCGCCCGGGTCTGCAGTCTGTGATTAGCGGCCGTAATGGCCATGATGCCTCCAATGTGGTGTTTAAACCAATAAGGCTTCAGAGAAGTTACGGTATGTTTAATAACGGCTTAATGACTACTTGCGAGATGCAAGGCTTCTGGTTCCTGTTTGGCCTTGATTTATAGCCCAACTCCGGCTGAGGACAGCCAAGAAACCCCTTCTAAGCCCCCAGCGGAAGAGGGAGGTGTTCACACCAGGCTTCTTGGATTCCTTTAAAAATTGAGAATTCCAATGAAATACAAATGATGTTTGACTCGCCACCTTTTCTCCCTGGTCCCTTGAGGCACTGAAAGTAAAAAACAGTGTGACCCATCCCTAGGGACCTCTCAGTCCGCAGAGGTGATCAGGGATCTCTGGTGTTTCTGACCCCATCATCATAGGTGAGGGCGGGGGGAGGGCACTGATTTTCTTGTCAGAAATTATTCTAAGCTCCTGCACTAGCCCTGGGCTACCCTGTGGCTGTGGGCTTCCTTCCCAGCCTCTCAGGAGATGTGATCCTACCCTCACCTCCCTGCAAAATGGCCGGCCAGGGGCAGCAGAGCTCTGGGGGGCTGAGCTGCAGACAGCCCCTCTACAGAGGGGTGCCCCAGCACTTGCAGATCATCTGCCCCCTGAAAAGCATTCATCCAGGCCTGCTGTTCAACCTCAAAACGCGCCGCAGCCTCCACCACCTGCTCCAAAGGTAGCCTCGGAGGTTTCTTTCGAGTCCGGAGCTGCCCCCGCCAGTCTCCCCGTCTGCTCCGGCCCTGCCACGGCCTCAGACCCGCCAGGAATTGGTAGAAAGGCTTTGAGGACTGACTCGGTCTAACCTCCAGAGTGAGGCGTGGGGAGCCGGGGCGTGCCAGGCCCCTCTGCGAACTACGCCGGTGCCCAGCCCCCACTCCCAGATCAGAGCTACTCGCGCAGCGCTCCCGGCAACTCTAATCCCGCTGGAAAGCGTGAGCTCTCCGGGGAGGGGTGTTTGGCTGGAGGCAACGTTTTCCCGGCTCCCAGCGAAGGGTTTGGTCAAGTCCCAGCCCTCACCTGTCTCGGCTCTTCTCCTAGACTGGTGTCTGGAGCCCAGGCCCACAAGTCCTATGGGCGGGGGGGGGGGGGGGCGGGTTATTCGGTTTGCGGGGAGGACCGCTTTACCCCTAGGCGGGCAAGAACCTCTAGACTGGGAACCCGGACCGAGGGTGCCGCTCTGAGCAAGGGACTCACCAGGATGGGCAGACAAAAGGGCCTGCCCTTTTCCTCCAACTGCCTCCGATAAGCAGGCTGGGGTGAATCTGGGGGCTGTCGGGCTCCGAGGGGTTAACCCGCGCAGGGCCGCACGTGACGTGGATGGTTCCAGCCGAGGCGCGGCCCCCTCCTCTGTCCCCCGCTCCCCGCCCCCCCGCCGCGGCGCACTCAGCTCCCGGGGGCTCCGCGCCCCCGAGCCCAGGTCCCTCCCCCTTGGCAGGCGCTCACAGGCCGCGCGGGCAGCGCGAGCCCCGGAACCCGGCGGCCTGTGCGCCCCGAGCCGGCATGGACCCCGAGCGCTGCGCGCCTTTCGGCGTGGGGCCAGGGCCCGACCTCTATGCGGCCGCGGGGGACGAGCCTCAGGGCGCCCAGGGGACCTCTGCCGCCGCGCCTCACCTGCACCCCGCGCCGCCCCGCGGCCCGCGACTGACCCGCTTTCCGGCCTGCGGGCCTCTGGAGCCCTACCTCCCAGAGCCGGCCAAGCCGCCCACGAAGTACCTGCAGGACCTGGGGCCCGGCCCGACGCTCAACGGCGGCCACTTCTACGAGGGCCCCGCAGAAGGTAACGCGCCGCGCGGGGTGTAACGCGCAGCCGGACCTGCTCCCCTTTCCTCCCCGCCTGGCCCCGGCCTTCCCGCTCCCCTCTCCCGCTCGCCTATTTCTCAACTTAGCGAGCCATTCGCCCCATGCCACGGCCGCTTCGGAAGCGGGACCCGCGGTGGTCCAGGCCCGGCAAAAGCCGGCACAGTGCGGTCGTCAGAGCCACGCGTGCCTTCGGCGCCGCAATGGGAGGCGGGAGGGGAGAAAGGGTGGAGCGGCGAAGGCCTGGGCCCAGTGGCGCCCGAAGGCGGCTGGAGCCGGGAAGGAGCCCGCATGCTGGCCGGAGTGGGGCCGGAATTGCCACCTACCCAGAAATCCCGACCGGGCCCAGGGCCCGGGCGTCACACTCGGCCCTTGACCTCCGTGCGGGGAGAGAAGCGCGGCTTTTTCGTGTCTAGCGCCTGTTGCAGCCCCGAGGCTGGGCTCTGCGACCCAGAATGGCCCCGCCGGGGCGCCCAGGGCTGCGGCCTGGCCCCCGCCGGCTTCTCCTCCCCAGTCCCAGCCTCTGTGGGGAAGGCGCTGGCGGGGTGGCCGCAGCTGGTCCCGCCGTGCCGGGGCCACGCTCACGACGGATTTACTGTGTTCTTATTTCTCACACTAACCTGGCACAGCGATGGCCCCGCTTCTTGAGTATCGGCTTCCTTGCACTGAATCGCAACCGCTGGGCCATCGAGAACAGCCCGGTGGGCCCCATCCCTGGGCGCCTCAGGGCCCTGTGCACTGAGGACAGTTGGACCGCGACGCCACCCGAGATCGCGTGGGAACGCCGGGGCCTGGCAGGAGACTGGGCACCGGCCCCCTCGGCACTGCCACATCCTGTAGCGTAGGCCCAGAGCTGGGTCGGCGGAGATGGCCTAACCCGCCTCCGCCCCGCCGGCGCCTTGCGGGCCCCCGCGGAGTGGACAGGCAGCTCCAGCCCTCGCCCAGCCGGCAGTGGGAATGTGCAGAAGAGGGCGGGAGGTGTGTGGGGGTCAGCGGAGGAAATGAGCGAGGCCGCGGAGCTCCATGTCTGTGCCCTTTGAAAGAGGCTCTCCTGATAAAAACCACAGTTGGGACTTAATGAGAAGCAGTTGGCCTGGCTCCTCTGATCCCAGCCAGAGGCGGCGGTCGCACAGCGCCGACAGCACCGTCAGGGACAGGTACCCGGCCTCGCTGGGCACGCAGCGAGTGACAGGACCCTGCCTGCGGACCCGCGTCCCCGCTGCGCGCGCCAGATCCCGCACCGGCCGCGGGGCGCCAGCATCCGCGCGACGCGGAGCCAACGGCGGGGGCCGCTGGAGCAGAAGGAGCAGAGGAACTGGCAACGGCGAGGGGGGTCAGCAACGAAATACGCGGAAAGAAAACCAAAGAGTGTAAACAAGCACAAGGAAAGAAAGGGAAATAGAACAAAACATCGGAGGAGATAGGCGAACAAAAGTAGAGGTGGTCGGCGAGCCGGGCAGAACGGAGAGGATCAAATGAAAAAACGAACAAGCGAAAAAGCAAGCGGAGATCGAACGAAGCGGGTAAATGGAGGAAGGAAAAGACGAAGGGAGTCAGAACAGGCAAAACGAAAGAAAAAGGGGCCACCCTAAAACAGCAGAAAATAGCAAAATGATAACAAGTAGGAGAAGAAAACGAACGGTTCAAGTTGCGCAGAGGACAGGCCAAACGAAAAGGAGGCGCAGCGGCTGCGAGCGGAGCCTGGGAAGCGCCCTCGCGTTCCCGTGCCCGCCGCTGGACTCGGCGAGCGGGCGGCCCGGTGCCTGCGGCGGAGCGGGGCTGCTCAGGAGGGGCAGCCCCGGGGTCGGGGGCGCGCGGTCTGCGTGTGAAATGTGGCAGGCGAAGGGCCGACCCGCCTTATTTCCCGGCTTTAAAAATAACGGGCATGAATGTTTCCAGTTCAGACCAGTGAGCACGCAGCTGCTCCCCATCTGCGGTGCGATCTTGGCCGCGGCGGGGCAGTTGCGCGCCCCAGAGCCTGGCTCGCTGTGCTCCTCTCCCGCCCTCGGGGGAGAGCGCCCAGCTCTACTCTGGACCCTGCCACGCCGGGCGGTGCCAGCCACCCGCCTGCCCCCTGCATGTGCTTCCTCAGAGCGCCGGAGATGTGCCCGCTGGGTCCTTCCTGCTCTGCCCGGGCCGCGCAGCCTGCCCCCTCGCTTCGCTCTCTGACCTCGGAACTCGCCCGCTGGCTCGGAGGCCCTGAGCCGGGTTACCTCAAGGGCCGCACTCCCCGAGTGGACGTAGCTCCTGGCGAGTTCCAAGTGGTCAGCCCATGGCTGAGGCCTGTAGGGCCCAGGGTGTCCACCCCACAGCCCAGGATGGTTATGAATGCAGCCCAACACAAAATTACAAATTTACTTAAACCTGTTTTTTGTTCATCAGTTTTCGTGAGTGTTTATGTATTTAACATGTGGCCCAAGACAACTTTTCTTCTTCCAGTGTGGCCCAGAGACGCCAAAAGTTTGGACGCTCCTGCTAGGCCGAAGCTGGGAAGCTCTAGGGAGAGCATCAGGCCCCACTGGGGAGCCACAGGTGGCGTCCACTGGCTTCCGGGAGCACTCAGGGTCACTCGGGAGGCGGTGGGGGGGGGTGCGGATCAAGGGGCCGCGAACACTCAAAGCGGGGTGGTGGGTCCTGCGGCCTCCACGGACACCATCGTGGGGGCAAGTGGGGCTCCCGGGAGGCGGTCGAGGGGTGCACACGTGACTGCCACTGCTGTTGGTTGGGGCTGCGGCAGCCCTGGGGTGGGGTGGGGCAGCGCAAGGGTGGTGAGCCCGAGAGCCAAGGACGAGCTCCGTGGCCCCCCCCCCCCCCCCCCCCGCCGAGGTCCTCGTCCGGGCTGCCGGCTCTGTGGTGCTGAGTGATGCAGGCCCCGTACCCAGGCATTGGGCTGCAGGCCCCCGGTCTCGAACCTGAGCACTTCCCCTGAACAGCCCAGTGTCCCCACCAGGGGCAGGGGACTCCTGCACACAGCCTCACACACCTGGATGGGCGCCCTGGGCTTAAAGCGCATCCTTCCCCTTAGGAGCTTAGGTTCAAGCGCTGGCCCGCTGAACCGCGCTGCCCCCACCTCCGTCTCTTTTCCAGGCATCCATCCGCAGGGCTGCCTGCTGTTCTTTGGGGGCGTGCCCGTCCCCCAAATGCTGCCTTGCCCCCTGGAGTCCTCCAGGCTGATGGGGAAGGGGTGGGGCGATGGTGAGGAAGGAGAGGTTCTCTGGTCCCTGAGAGGGCTGTCGACGGGGCAGGCGTGGGAGGCCACCCAAGGCCAGCAGGCTTGGCCCTCTTTGGGGTGGCGATCCTGAGAAGTCCTGGTGCACGTCCGCTCACCCCTGGTCCTGGGGGCTGCCAGTCAGGAAGGCAAGTCCTGCGGTCCCAGAGCCGCTCACTTCCTCTGGGCAGATCCCTTTGGAACAGAAACTGAGGACCCGGGAGGCAGAAGAGCAAGCCCCAGAGCTTGGCCGTGGGCGGGGGGCGGGGGGTGCCGGTGTTCTGCAGTGATGTCAGCGCTCCCCTGGCCCTGGCCCTGGCCCTGAGCCCCACTCCCCCTCCACGCCCAGAGTCCAAGGTCCTCCCTCTGACATGTCCCTGTCTCAGGCCTGCTCTGTGTAGGGGGGGTCCCCTTTCGGTCTCCCAGTCTCCCTGATCATTTTCAACTATTTGGTTCAACTTCCATGAGCTTTTCTTCGTAAGCTCCTACCCCCAGAACAACAGCCACAAAACCCTCGCGTGGTCCAGCGTGGCAGCGGGGGCGGAGCATTTTCCCTGCGGGCTGTGCTTCACCCGTGTGTGAAGGAGACCAGGCACCTGGCCTGTCATTTGTGCACAGCGGCGAGGGCAGGCCCTACCTGGCTCCCCCAAGCCTCCAGGACACGCAACAGGACACACCGCCTGGGTGGCCCTGGGCGCCCTGACCACCCTCCTGCGGAGGGACACGTGGACCGCTTGTCCTCCGCAGCGCAGACAGGGATTCATCAGACCCAGAAGCCGCCCTCCAGTCCTGCTCCCCACCCCCAGCTGCGATCCCGACACCAAGTCCTGGGGAAGAAGCTGCCGCTTGGTGCCAGCCTGCTGGGCCTCCAGGGGGCCGGGCCAGCTGGGGATGGGCCCAGGGCAAGGGAAGGGCCCGTGTGAGCCAGTCCGTGGGGCGCCTTTGTGGCGTCTCTCCTGTCATCCCAGCAGACTGTTGAATGGAGATTTCACGGTGACGCTGCTGGGGGTCCTCACAGAGGAGGAGAGCATGGCGACCGGGGTGACCTGTTTCTCGCTGTGCCCCGCTTGCGGCAAGCGAGGGGCCAGGCCACTGGAGTGGGGTTTCTGGGGACGGGCCCCAGGCTGCAGTCAGGCCGCCCTCCTCGTCAGAAGCTCCTGAGGAGGGTGGGGCAGACTCTGATGAGGAGATGTTGGGGTTGGGAGCCGAGCCCCGTGTCCACCCCGGTCCCCAGCTCTCTTTCTCCGAGCACAGCTTAGCTCCTGCCTCTCTCTTGCTGGAGCTGGTCCTTGCCCAAACGTCGCACTTTGGGGAGGACTGAGACAATGCCTCTGGAAGCTTCTTTGCCCCATCTTGCCCTTTAGGCCCCAGGGCTGGTGGGCTTCACTTAGCCTGAGACTTGGGGTCCAGAGAACGAGGCGCAGCCCGACCAGCCAAAGGTTGCCTGAGCGTCCCTGTCAGCATCCGCGTCGTGGGCATGAGGACATGGGCCTGCAGAGTCAGGCACAAGGAGGTCCTTCCTGGCAGGGGCAGGGACATGTCAACCGCCCCATCCTCACCCCCTCCTCCTGCCCGGGTGGCGCGAGGCCGGGCCATGGCGCCATCCCGGCACTTCCTCACCCCGTGGGACGCGCCCTCACAGAACGCTTCCCCGAAATGAACCCCCCTCGGCCCCAGCAGATCCGCCCAGAACACAGACAGCACGGTTCCCCGGGGCCCCCTCCCCAGCTGGAGGCTCAGCAGGAAGGCCTCCTGATGCCAGGCTCCATGGAGGGTGGCTGCTGGAGGAAGGGAAGCGAAGGGAAGGGGGAGGCGGGGACTGAAGCGTCAACAGCCTTCCCCTCCCTCCATCCCACCCACAAAACTGGTTCGGTTTCCATCCTCCTTTTTGTGTTTCCATTGCAGCTGAGGAGAAGGCCTCCAAGGCTGCCAGCTTCCCCCAGCTGCCCCTGGACTGCCGAGGGGGCCCCAGGGACGGGCCCTCTGCCATGCAAGGCTCCACGGGCCCCTGCCTGGCCAGCCTGCGCGTCCCTCTGTCCCCGGGGCTCTCTGACTCCATGGAGTTGGCTAAGAACAAGAGCAAGAAGCGGCGGAACCGCACGACCTTCAGCACGTTCCAGCTGGAGGAGCTGGAGAAGGTCTTCCAGAAAACCCACTACCCCGACGTGTATGCCCGGGAGCAGCTGGCCCTGCGCACAGACCTCACCGAGGCTCGGGTTCAGGTGAGGACGTGAACCACCACCAGACGGCTGCCCAGGCCACGGGAGGGCTGGGCGGAGCGGGCGTGTGCGCCCTGCAGAGCTGCCCCTCCCGGTGCCTGCACCCACCTGCCCCTCCTGGGCCTGCCCTTCGCACCCAGCTCTGCCAGCACCAGGGGCTGGCACCCAAGTGGAGGCTGACAGTCTCGGGGAGTCAGAGTCCTGTGTGGCAGTCCCGCCTCCACCGAGCACTGGCTGGCCAGGTGATTTGGGGCCTGCCCGCAATTGCCTCGGTCCCTAGGAGGGAGCAATGGTGCTACCTCCTTAGGGATCTGTTTTGGAAGCAGAACAACCAGGAGCACATATCAGGGCTGCTGCAGAGGTGGCTGCCCAGCATGGGAGGGGCCCTGAGGGGCGGTCTCGGGCTCAGGGACCCTCTGAGCCATCCTCAGCCAGTGACCTTCAGGCCTACCAACACTCAGAGCCTGGCCAGGAGCTCTGCCCACCCAGCAACCCTCCCGACAGGGAAGGGGCCCCAGGCTCCTGGATGGAGCCGTGGCGAGCTCCACAAGGGGCGTCGGCCAGGGATCGAGGGGTGCTGGGCACAGGGCAGAGGAAGTTCATGTCTGAGACATTTTGGAAGCGAGGAAGAACTTGAGGGTGGCAAGCAGGGACGGGGGATGGGAGGCTTCTCTAAGGATCTGGCCCCACGGGAAGGTGGATGTCGTTGCCTTGCTGTGACCGGCTGGCTGCCCAGCAGGCAGGCTCCCTGCGTAGGAGGCCCTGGGTGAGGCGCTGGCGTGGGCTTCTGGGGAAAGGCCCGGAGGCGACTCTACACAGGAGACTTGGTAGGGGCAGAGTCACCCCATCACACCCCACGGGGGCCTCTCTCGAGTCTGGGAAACCCCTGGGACAAGGCAGCCCTGGCAGAACGGGGGGACCGTCGGGCAGCTGCGTCTAGCAGGGCAGGCCCCGCCGCCGGACTCCACACAGGCCAGAGAGGCTTGGGCTCCGTCCCCTTCTCTGCCGGATCCTCCTGCCCCTGTGTCCCTCCCAAAACAGATGGCTGGGACTGTCCACCAGGGCTCCCCAGGGCCTGCAGCCAGCAGAGCGAGACGACTGACAGCCACACAAACCCAGGTTACATAAGCCACGGAAGCCTGGGGCGTCCCGCTTCCGGAGGCCTCAGCAAGCCCCTGGGCTATGGTCTGACCGGCTACCCCTGGGGAACCGCTTCAGGACGTGGACCCCAGTCCTGTCCTTGGCCTCTCAGCCCTGGAAGGGTGCAGGCACAGCGGCGAGGCCCCCGACCCAGTCCAGAAGCTTCCCCGGTGACTGAGGCCTTAGAGTAGGGATGCCGTCTCTGACAGGACGGTGACAGCCACCCGTGGGCTCCGCTGTGGAGAGGAATACTGAGGCCATGCGGCGGGGGCGGGGAACGACACAGAGGGCAGGTCCAGGGTGCAGGTGGTGGGAGGGAAGGATTCCCAGGAAAGTGATCCGCTTTACCGGCCCCGGGCACCTTCATCTGCCTGCAGGGAGGGACAGTAGAGAAGGGAAGGCCGGGGTGGACAGGGAGTGGGGCAGCGGGGCGGCCTCCCGGGCTGGCCCCAGCCGCTGCAGGACCCCTGCAGCCCGAGGTCAGGGGCTAGGGTGGGCCTGGCCCCCAAACTGGGGGCTTCACCTGCTTGCCTGGGCAGGGTGACCGTGGGGGAGTGTGCGTGGGTGGGGTGGCGTTCCTTGTACACGCGTGCACACATGCATGCACACACACAGCTTCCTCTGTTGCGGCCCCAGCCAGATCCCAAGGAAGCAGGGGAATGGTTGGGGTTTGGTTCAGTTTTGACATCCCCACCGTCTGGCCCAGAGGCCGACACATAAGTTCATTAAATGATAGCAATGCAAACGCATGCACCGACACACATAAATGTAACAGTCCTCGGGCACGTACCCAATGACAGAGTCGTCACACATACGTGCACAGATGTGCACAGCACACAACATGCCACCCCCAGCTGCCTGGAGCTCACGAATGAACGGGAGAGACAGACTCCAGCACAGACGGTCGTGATAGGATGTGGCCTGAGACACTTGAGGGCCTCACGGAGTCTGGCAGACGGCGCCTGGCTCAGGCGCGGGGCTCGGGGAGGGCAGGGGTAGCGCAGGCAGGGGGAACCTGGGCAAAGGCAGGGCGGGCAGGCAGAGGGCCCCGAAGGCTGGCTGGGCTGGAGGTGGCAAGGAGGCACCAAGCGCCGCGGCCTGGCAGGAGAGGAGTCTGCGGAGAGGAGCAGGGCCCGGGAAAGCCAGGCTCGGGGCTGAGATCCCCCGGAAGCCAGCAGGGCTTTCAGCAGGACCAGGACTGAGCAGGAGTATCTTTCAGGCTCCTCAGAGGCCACGAGGTGGGCATGTTGGAAAAGGAGATAAGGCTGGTGGCTAGAAAGCCAACACACGTGCACTGGTCCCTGGGAACCCCTGAGGCCACGGAGCACCGTGACGCCCTTATGAGACCGGCCAGGCCGGAGAACCAGAGTGACTCAGCCTCAGTGGGGGCAGGATGGGGCGGAGGGGCACTCCTAGGCCCCCTCCCAGGCTCCGAGCTTTGAAAATTTTGTGGATTGACAAGCTCCCGACATTCAGGATCCCCCAGCCGGGAACCGGCCCCCCACCCTGTGGGACACAGCCCACTGCCCGCTCGGGGCGCTCTGTCACCCCCTCACCCTCTGCCCTCGGCCCCCAGGTCTGGTTCCAGAACCGCAGAGCCAAGTGGCGGAAGCGGGAGCGTTACGGGAAGATCCAGGAGGGAAGGAACCCCTTCACGTCTGCCTATGACATCTCTGTGCTGCCGCGGACAGACAGCCACCCCCAGGTGAGACCCCTCCACGCTCCCCCCAGAGGGCGGGCTCGACCGCATCCCAGGGATTAGCCAGCAAGCGTGTGAGCTCTGGCCCTGGGGGACCCGGAGTGGCACTGAGTCCCATGCAGCCGACCTTGGGCAAATCACCTCTTCCTCTGCCCAACGGGCTGGCACCTGTCTCCCCAATGCCATGCGCCGGGCAGCTGGCACAGAGGGCCCCTGGGGAAAGCCTCATTCTCAGAAGCAGCGGCAGGGGCTTCTGGGACACCCCTGAGAGCGCTGGGGACTGGAGGGTGGCAGGTTCTAGACCTGAGCGAGTGGAGGCCTCTTGGAAAGCCTGGGGACCCTAAGGGCAGAGAGGACGCCCCTAGACGGGGAGGCGGCCCAGGGAAGCCAGCTCACGGCCCTGCTTCCTCTCTCTCCTCAGCTGCAGAACTCCCTGTGGCCCAGCCCAGTGTCCGGGAGCCCAGCCGGGCCCTGCCTCCTGTCTCCGGAGGGCATCCCCTCCCCGTGCATGTCTCCGTACTCCCACTCACCTGGGAATGTGGCCGGCTTCATGGGGGTGCCAGCCTCCCCTGGAGCCCACCCTGGCATCTACTCCCTCCACAGCTTTTCCCCCGCCCTGGGGGACCACAGCTTTGAGCCCTCCCCGGATGCCGACTATAAGTCTCCAAGCCTCGTCTCGCTCAGGGTGAAGCCCAAGGAGCCGCCCAGCCTGCTGAACTGGACCACGTGATCAGACATGTGGACACGCAGGCTGAGCTGCCACCCCTTTCCTGTTCCCGGCTGTTCCCACCCCGCCCTGGACTGGATGCCAGAGAGGACCCACGCCGCCTCCAAGCCCCTGGTGGTTCCCAGAGGTGGGGCAGAGTGCTGAGTCTTTTCTCTTAGAACAAGGCAGGACTGCCCAGGAGAAAAGGGGGCTTTGAAGCTGGTAGGACTCCTCCTACCACATACTGGGTCCCCTCACCCAAACGCAGGGCTGGAGAGAGGCACCGCCCTGCTTCCTTCCAACTTCGTCCAAGTTCCACTGTTGTCCCTCCAGCTGGAACAGCTTCGTGGGCTCCTCATTCGGGGAACGCGGGAACACGGGAGGAGGACGCAGGTGGAACCAGGAGATCTGGTGACTCTCGGGAACCCAGAACCTTGTATGATCACCTACGGGAGTCTCACTCCCTCCTCCCACCACCAGGGGGCGTGCACCGAGCGTCTGGCGCTCACAGGGGCTTGGAAGCTGGAGGTCAGCCTAAAAGGTGCCCAGTCACCTCGGCCTCAGCCATCCCTTACTTCTCCCCTGCGCCCCTCCCTGCCATGCTGTGGAGTCCTCCTCCCGCCAAGGGGGGCAGAGATTTCACCAGAAACTACCAAACACTTGGATTCTCCTCCAGGGGATCAGGCCAGAGCTATGCCATGGGAACCCTAGACTCCCTTGGTTTACTCACTGGGCGTTGGTCAGAATAAACAGAGTCCCAGCCTCTGAGCCCCTGAGATCAAACCCTACGTCTGTAAAAATGCTTTTGTATTAAAAAAAAAAAGAGTGTGCTGCCCAGCATAATAATAAAGGCAGCGGTACTTTCTAGACCCGACAATTGCAAATCTTCAGGGTTTGGCACTGGGTTGCCCTAGGGCTAGTCTGTGCTCAAGGGCCAGCTGGCCAGGCCCTCTGGAGGGGCCGGCAGGGACCCCCGAGGCTGGGGGAGGGTGCGCCTGCAGCAGAGCCCTCGAGGCTGTTGCCTGCCACGCCTGGCCCAGGCCCTGGGTCTCTGTGGCTCTGGCTGGTGTGCGAGGCAGGGAGAAGAGCCAGAGCGCTAGCGCTGCTGGGCTCATAAGGAAAACTCAGGTTGGGAAGGGGAGTGGGACAGCCTGGCTAAGCTTGTGGCTGACCCGACAACAGTAGGGAAGAGGAGACCAGGGAGCCCACTGAGGGCTCTAAGCGCCCGGGGGTGGACCCCAGAGCCATGGGGGTGGGACGGGCCCCTTCCCCCAGAGGCCCCAGGAGCACGTCTGAGCTGTGGAGCAGAGACGAAAGCCAGGACTCTGTCTTGCGGTTTCAGAGCATTACCCATTCTATCCTTCATCCCTGCTCTCTGCCTTATCTCCGGAAGGCAGGGGAAAAAGCTGCCCTGGCCCTCCCACCCTCCCAGTAAATACCACCCATTTATAGCTCAGGTCTCCCCCCGCCAGCAGCCCCGCCCCCTGCGCTTCCTCTTCCCCCGCAGAGAAAGCCAAGCACACAGACACCAGCACCGGCTTATTCCCCAAGGGGAGCAAGTCCCCATCAGAAGGATCTTCCCGCCAAGACAGTCGCTGTGACTGGGCTCACGTGTGCCCCAGAGGGAACCAGTGTCTTCCTCTTCCCATCACTTCAGTCATGGCCTGGCTCCTGGGGATTTCTCTCCTCCCAGCGCTGATGCTGGCTGAGCTCCAGGTGAGCCCTCAGCTCCGGAAGGGAGAGGCCCCAGCCACCCCACCCTGCTGATCAGGGATGGCCGGGGGTGCAAACCCATCTTCCTAGGTCCAGGGCTAAGACCCTTGCACCAGAAGTTTCTTCACAGGAGGATGGGCCAGCAAAGTTTTGGACTGCCTGTCCCACCAAGTCAAGAGGTGCAGAGAGAGTGGTTGGTTCTGAAAGGGGGACTGAACGCCCGCTCAGGGCCAGGCGCGGTGCTGGGAGCCGGAGCAGAGGTCAAGCACGGCTTAGAGAAAGATGGAGCGAGGGAAGAGGGGAGAAGCAGAGAAAGCAGAAGCGGGGAAGAGACAGATAAGGAAGTCAAGCCGAGCCAGAGATCGCGGCAGCCGGAGAGGGAGAGGCGGCAGGGGCCAGGAGGGGCCCACGGGGGAGGGCACAGGGAGGCTACTGGCTCCCATCCAGGGGCATCTACCCACAGCTCATATTTTTCTGTCCAGTGACAGCTAAATGAAGGGAAAGCTAACTTTACAACCGCCCGCTTCACACATAATGAATATGAATGGGCACCCCGGAGCCTGTTCCAGGGGATTATCTGCGCGCTGATGGTTCTCCTGCTGACTGGGCCATCCCAGCCGGCCTGTCCCCTGGCGGGGACATGGGCAGCCCTTCCACCTGCTTCCCATTAACCACCCTCTCTCCACCTCCCCCCGCCCCACTCCAGGCATCTCACCACCGAGGCGCAGCCCCCAGCCTCACTTCAGAAGCGACATGGCCCAGGCCCAGGCCCTGCTCCCCCGAGGCCAGGCTGGGGACCCCTTCTGGGGCAGGAAAGGGGAAGCGGCCCCTCCTGGAATCCCAACTTGAAGGGAGTTGCTGGCCTCTGCGAAGGCTCCTCCCTGCCCCAGTGAGGCCCACCTCGGGGGGGCCCTCAGTCTTGGTCCTGGCAAGGGGCACCAGCACCAGGCCCGGGGGTGGAGGGCCCCAGGCAGCCCGGCACTGGGAAATGCCTCTCATTAGAGGTGTGCAATGTTCCTTCCCAGCTCCTCCAGCCATTTACACAGCAACCTGATTACAGCCCGCAGCGCAGGCCCCCTGCGGCCCCAGGCAGAGCCCAGAACGGAGCCCAGTGTCGCCAGGCACTGGGCGCTTCCTGGGTCAGCCAGAGGCTGCCCCAGCCTCTGCCCCAGGCTCGTCCTGGCCGTGTGCACTGGGGGACGATGACCACAGGGTGTCTGCTCGGGGGCCCTTGTTCCTGATGCTGGGTCACCTCCCTTCCCACCCCCCAACGGCGGGCTCCCCCCATGCAGCTCCTCTCCAGTGGGAGGGTGCTGGCCAGGCTGGTGGGGCCGGTGGGCCCTGCAGGCGTCTGCCACATGCTCGCTCTCCCTTGCTTTTGTGGCAGTCTGTCAACCGCAAGCTCACCAAGGGCACCAAGGACTGGGAGGAGGCCTTCGAGGCACAGTGGCAGCGGGGCTGGATCAGTGGCCAACTCTTCTGAGTCTCTGTATTCAGGGCCGAACGCTAAGGCTCAGGGATATAAGGAGCCTAAGACATGGTTCTGGTCCTTGAAGGGGGGTTGGGTTCTGTTTTCCCGCAGGACACAGGACTTGAATGCAAATTCGCAGGTTAGAGGTGGAAGGGCCGTCAGCAGTCCTGAGAATAGCTGCCCTGGATTTGTTAGCTGTGTTGTTTCTCGCCAGCCAGGTACACAGGTCCTAGGTCCTCAGGCCTCTCACAACCTTGCTGCTGTTAGAATGATGTTTGCGGAAGAGACAACAGGCTGGTGGGCTCAAGCCCCTCAGCAACTACACGCCAGAGCCCGGACTGAGGGCAGCCTGAGGTGGACAGTGCCAAGAGCCGCATGAATGGCACAGCCGCCGCCTGTCTGAGAAGCCAGTGCATCAGGGGACAGACAGGAAGCCAGCCTCCCGGGAGACAAACCTAACAGGCGAGGCACAGGCTGCCCCGCGCGAGTCCTCTGGGACCCGCGAGAGAAAGACAGGCTCGCTGGGACAGACAAGGCGGCAGCGGTAGCGCCCCGGTCACGAGGGGGCACGCATTTGGGGCACGTCAGAAGCCAGGCCAAGGCCCAGGCCAAGCTTGGGTGGCCAATTAGTGCCTAAATCAACTGACGTTTGCCAAGAATCTTTCCAGGGACCCCACTTGAGCAAACAGTGAGGGCTGACGAAAGTGAACAAAGGAACAAACGAATGCCCCAGTGGAAGTGCTGGGGGACAACCAGATCACCAAGCGGGAAGGGGTGCGGGAAGCGGCACGCGCCCACGCCGCAGGCAGAGGCCTGACTTTGCATCGGGCGCCGGCTCGCCTTACACTGCGACCTTGGCAGGCTCTTCACCCGCCCTGTGCCAGCTTCTCACCTGCAGGACAGGGACTGTAGTAACAGCAACTTCCAGGGCTATTTCAGACACTAAGGCTTTATACGGAAAGTGCTTAGAGCAGCGGCCAACACGCAGCAGGCACCCCACACTGCCAACTGTTGGCTACCGTGTGGACAACGGGCTCTCAGGAGGCACCGATACTGGCCCTGGTGACCGTGGGGCACCAGTGAGTGGCAACTCATGACTAACAAGACAGTTCCATCCTCAAAGCCACAGAAAGAGCCCTGGGCCCGGAGCTGGTGAGCAACAATCCATTTTGTACGTGTCTCGCCCATTTACAAGGGGCCTGCACGTACCCTGCCCAGCCCATGACCCCGACAGGATACAAAGCCACAGAGATGGAGTGGTCACTGGCTTCACGTGGTCCACTTGCCACAGGCACACTCTGGCTGTGACAAGGCTCATCCCCTCCTGGTGGCCTCCAGGCCTGGACCCTGCCTGGGCTCTAGGGCTCATGAAACTTTGATAGTCCGTGTTCCTGTGTGCACAGATTTAGGCAGGTATTTACAAACCATTGCAAACCAAGGGGAGAAATGGCAGCCGGTGAAGGGAAGCTTTAGAGGGATGGGGGAATCAGCAACGGAGAACAAAGCCGCAGGGGACAGGCTGAGTGACCGGGCCGCCTGGTGTAATGTCCACCTCACCCAAACTGAAGCCTCATGGTACAGACTTCCTATAGTCCTGACAAAAAACCAAAACAGAAAATCCATCATGCACACGAGTTGTGTCAAATCCCCATGTCCTGTGCAAGTTACTTTGGGGCAAAATGCCAATCAGCCCCAGGGACGTCCCATCTGAGGCTGCGCGACTTCCGTGGGCCGTGAGCTGCTGGCTGCCGCCCCGCGGCTCCTCGCCACGCTGGCGCATCAAGGCCTGTCCCGACGCCCAGCTCAGGGCCCGGGCAGGACAGGCGCTGAACAGAAGAGCCAAACAGGGGAGGTTCCCCCACAGTGTTCCCTTTCTAAGTCAGACCCTTGGACACTTAACACCGCTACACGCGGCCTGCAGGTAAGATACGGGAGCATCAAGCAGTTCCGAAAAGGGAATGCTCCTTTCACCAGTGTCCACGCAAGAGGATCCGAGAGGCGGAGCCTTGAGACGGAGTCAGGAGGTGGCAGGCGCGCCCGGGCTCTGGAGGTCAGGTGCTGGCTCCACGCCTCCAACTCACAGCTGCCACGAAGGCTCTCCTCGCCTCTCCCCAACTCAGCCCTAGCGCTCCTGGGCACTTCCTTTTCCACTCTGAGGCCAACTCCTGATGGTCTTCTTCCCCAGGCTCAGGGCACCTGTTTCCTCAGTCCAGACCGTCTGCCCAGTGAGGACCCAGCGCGCCCGGCTCCTCTGACCAGCCCCTCCCTCCCTAGCTCAGAAGCTGGTGTGGCTGAGGTCAGCTCAAGAGTGTTATCCAGAGGAACCTGGGCTCCTATCGCAAGGCCATCAAACACAGGGGTGCAGGACAACGTGTCGCTCCAGCAACCCGAGTCCTGGAGCTGCAGCAACTCCAGGCTGATGTGGGAAGAGAGGATACTCTGCAGAAGTGCCCCCACCCCACCCGCACAGCGAAGGAAAAGGCAGGCAGCTTGGCAGAAGACAAGTGGGCGACCTATCAATGCTGGCGAGAAAGCCCACTTTCTAGAACAGGAGGAGCGATGCAGGAACCGTATTTTCTGCAGACAAGGCCACTGGGATTGTTTTTGCTTCCTTTTAATGTAAACAGAATACACAGACACATTAAAAACCCCAACGTGACACAAGAGAATGCGCAGATTTATACACAGGTATTTACAGACGCCAGCAAACCAGGAAGAGACATGGTGCCTCTGGTTAAGGGAGCGCCTCTTCCCACCCCAGCCCCGTCCAGACCAAGGTGCCTGGGGGGAGCTGCAGGGCCCCTGCGCTGCCTCCGGGCGACACGCAGCAGGGGCCGGAACATCACGAACCCCCTCCGCAACCCTGGGACTCTGCTTCCCGCCCTGATCCGAAGCCCTTCTCCTTGGCAAGCTGGCCTGCCACGGAGCTGCCTGTCTCAAGAAGGGTCAGCGTGACCCCCGAAATTCGATGTAATGGGCTCTCCTAGCCCATCCCAGCTTTTCCCAGCCTTGGGCAGAATGAGAAATGAGCTGGAACCAACCATGTCCAAGAGAGGAGGGAGGGAGGGCAGGAGTGAAGAGGGAGATGCCAGGCAGAGACTATCCCAGGCAGGACGCTGGGCTTCACCAGAGGCCGAGCCGAGCCCGCGCTGCCTGGAAGGGCACGGCGGGGCTGTGCTGCCACCTGGAGGCGGATGGGCACACTGCGGTGACCCAGGCCAGGCCCTGGAGCCCCTGCACAGCACCCCTCTCCTCTTCAGTCCCGACCAGGAGCCTCACTGCAGCAGCTCTTCCCAGGAAATGGGCTTGGAGAAGACCTCCCTTTCTAACCAGAGGTCATAGTTCATCTGGAAGTCCTCAGGGAGGTCCACCCGCTGGCCCAGGACACTCTGCAGGCAGTTGTCCACAGGCAGGAATTCGGGGTTGCTGTGTGCCCGATCGTAGCGCCGGGCGTTGAAGCGTTCGATGTTGGCACGGAGGGCACACTCCTCTGCCTGGAAGTCCCAAGGCCGGGCATCCAGATCTGGGACGAGGCAGGAAGAAAGGTCAGGAGCCGGGCCCTCGTGGCAGCGCCCCCCGCGTTCACGCAGGGAAGGGCCAGGCCACTCCGGCTCGAACTCCTGCTTGCCAACCTCCAAGCCCCAACCTCAGCTCTGACAGGGCTCCTCCTGACTCCTCGCCCAGAGCACGCGTGCAAAGGGGAGTCGGGCGGAAGGAGGGTCCCAGCCCGACGGAGCGGGAGGCGACACCGCAGTCGCGTGGACGCGGCGAGGGACTCGCTTGGGCCTCTGGCGCTAACTCTCAGGGCAGTTAGAGGTTAATGGAGGACCCGACTCGGAGAGGTGCCCCCAGATCTGCATTTTGGAAAGATCCCTGCAGCAGAGTTTGAGGCAACGATGGATGAGAAGACACTAGAGACTCACCGTTGCCGTAGGCCCAGTCGTCGTTCAGCCGGTGCCGCACCTTCTGGTAGATGGCGGACATGGTCTTCATGTTGCTCTTGCGCCACTGCCGCCCCAGGTACTTGGTCTGCACCTTGAGCAGCTTCAGCACGTAGAGTTGCATCATGGCCTGCTTCACCTTCAGCGCCCGCTTCAGGATGGGGGCCGACTTGAACACCACCAGCATCTGGAAGGGGCACAGGGCGGGCAGTGGAGGGCAGAACGGACGCCTGCGTCACCGCCCAGCTGCTCCCCCCTCTTGGGGGTTTGGGCAGGGTGACCAGCCGTCCCAGCTTTCCCCAGGCTGAGGTGTTTCCTGGGACATGGGACTTCCACTGCTGAAAGCACCAGAGTCCTAGGCAAACCAGGACCGCTGGCCGCCCTGAAAATGAGTCCTTCTGGAATCTGAAGAAATCTATGAACTCCTCTGGAAACACTGCTATATGCACACACCTGCAATTTCGGAGGACCTCCCGCCCCCAGGCATCCACACACGCAGGGTTAAGGGAGGCCCCGGAGCCTCGGTTAGGCAGAACCCCTCTGTAAGAGCGAATGATTCAGTGCACAACTGAGCTTCTTGCAGCCTCCTGCTCAACTCACCAAGGAACCAGAACTCAGCCCTTAAAATGCAAGGCTGTGGCTGCAGGAAAATTCGGAGGGAAGGCTGTAGCTGCGGCAGCAAGCCCGCCCTGGGGACCCCTGCTCCCGTGTTCAAGGGACGGTACAGGGCGTGGCACTCAGCTTGGAGCTCCGAGCCTGCTGACTGCGCTGACTCACCATCGTCCTTGAATGCTTCCATTTGGTCAGCTTGTTCAAGATCCGAAGGAGATTGATACAAGAAAAGAGGTTCCTCCAGCAAAACTGGTTATTGTCACCGGCCTCCTGCAGGGAAAACACAGGAACCACCGTGGCCCCCACAGCGGCAGGGCTCAGCGTCCCCAGGGCCCTCACAGGCACGGTCTCCGCACTGCGGGGCTCCTGGCCTGTACCAGAGCCGTTCCTTTCCTCAGCCCGGAGCGACGCCACCCCAGAGGCTCGCAGGAGGTCGGGGGCAGCTCCCTAGAATTTTCCTGCAGGAAACAGCATGATACTGGGGGCTGGGGCCTTGGCCCGCACAGCCTGAGACACCAGGATCCCTCAGAGCTGTGGACCCACAGTCGCAGTGCAGGGAGAGGGAAGCAACTTGACCCAGTAGGCTCTGGGTCAGCCCCTGACAACCATGCTCCCGAGACAATCCATTTCCTCCCTCCAAATCTTCCCGCCCCTGCATGCAACACAGCGCTCCAGGAGCCAGGCAGGCCCTCAGCAGGGACCTCGTCTGTTCCCTGCGGGGGATGCAGGCTCTCCTCCACTGACCTCCACGCTGAGGGGCGTTGGGGAAGAGCCACGCCACTCACCAGGCTCTCAGCGGTCAGCTCCGGCAGCTCGTGCACCACGCAGTGGGGGTAATCCAGAACAGAAATGCTGCGGGGGGCAAGGGAAGGCAGGCACCCACCATGAGCCCAGGCCGGGGCCGGGGCAGCCGCTGTGACCGGCCAGCTGCTGGCTTTCCTCCCTCACTGGCTGGAACGGGAGCAGGACTCTACCGCGCCTGCACCACCCTGGTTTCCCCAGCTCTAAGGTGAGGAAATACCTGCTCCGAGAGCCCTTGTAAGGTCCCTCTGACCAGAGACCAGCTTGTAATCTTACAAAGGGGTAGAGACCCTGCTCTCCGGGCAGCAATGAATCTGAGGCCGAGGTGGGGGGCAGGCGGGAGGCGGGGAGACGTCTGACAGCACTGAATTTGTGCCAAGCCCCCACTGGATACAGTGTCTGGCAGATGGCTCGCCCTGTGACGTGTCACACTGATAAGTAGGCACTGCCAAGGACAGCTGGCACCAGGTGAGAGGGGTGGGGGTCAAGAGCGAGCGGACAGGGCCTGACAGCGCACGTGGCTGGCTGAGCTCCTTCGAGAGGACAGGCAGCCTGGCTGCCTCCTTAAAGCAAAGGGCGCAGGAGGACAGTGAGGGCAGTACCAGAGCCCAGGATGAGGCCCCTCCCACCCAGGCACAGACCGAGTCACCTGTCCCTAGACCAGCTGGAGAGCCAGACTCAGATTTCACAGGGAGGGGCTGTGTCTCATTCATCTTTGCGTCCTGAAGCCAGGGAGAGCGCTGGCCTATGGGTGCTGAGTGGGCTCAGTGGGAGAGGCCAGCTGGGAGCCCTGCCTTCTGGCCATACCCATGCCCTCCCGACCCCTGGTTCTTATCACCTGTTCTTGGCAGTGATGTAGGACATGATGTTTTGATTGAAGAACTTTAGAATCAAAGGGATGCAGTTGGCGAACACCAGGTGCTGGGCCATGTACTCAAACTGAAACCAACAGAAAAAAAGTAAGCACGCCCCAGGGGCCTCGCTGTCTTTCCTCCGGTGACCAAAGGCCTCGGCCGGATGCCTGACCTTAGAACATGTGCGCAGAGCTCAAGGGCGCCTGACGGCCAAGGCCTCCACTCCGGGCTGAAGGAGCGGCACCGCCCAAGGCCTGGCCCAGCGGGCAGGAAGGGAAGCAGGCTCTGCACATACCTGGTAGACGTGGTTCAACTTAAAGTGCTTCAGCAGCAGCAGCAGGACAGCGGAAATGGCCTTCACGATGACCTCTTTGTGGCGGTTCACGTCCACGCCCAGCTTCATGCTCTGCAGCACTGTGGTGCTGGGAACACACCCGCCGGGTGAGCCGGCCGCTCCGGCAGCACCCTCCCGCCACGGCCTCCCGCCCCAGCTCAGCGTGAGTGTCCCCTCCTTGTGATGCCCCATACGCATTCCTGGCCCCTTCCCCTGCTTCTCCTCCAGCAATGAACTTCTTTCTCAAGATCACCCCTAAGCTTCTGCCACCGCAGAAACTGCGCCTCCAGCGGGTTCCACACGGTACACCAGCACGCCGCCGTGTCGCGCTCCGGGGAAGTCAGGGTCTGGGGGCAGGCACGCTTAGGGAGTGTTGAATCCAATCAGATTCTTTCTTTTTTTTAAATTTACTTTTCAATTACACTTGATGTACAGTATTATGTTAGTTTAAAGTGTACAACAGTGATCAGACATTTAAATCAGTTTCTGAACTGAGGACTTCTCACTGTAGAGCTTTAAAAGAGGAGGTACAATATTTGACTCTGGAGCCCCTTTCCAAGGACCATCACGATGGGCTGGTGTTCTGTGACACCCCCTTAGGTTGTGGCCAAGCCCTGCCCCCTCCCTCCCCTGGAGCTCGCACCAGGCTCAAGGAGCCATGCCGCGAGGGAGCTGGGCGGTATTAGCGGCCAGGCAGGGACCGGGTCAGGGCCAGGTCCCTCTCCAAGCAGAGTATGGTCTCGGTTTGTACTCTCACAGCAGAGAGGCGCAGTCCGTGCCCCAGGGAGGGAGAGCCCCTGAGGATTTCACCATCACCCTGGGATTGACATGCCCTGCGAGCCAGTCCATCAGAGAACAGGAAGAACCCCTCCCCGGTGGAGGTTCAGCGGCTGGCTGGCAGACTGTCCCAGATGTCCCAGGCACACAGCTTTTGAGGGAGGGTTCGGGAATGTTGGACGCAGCCTGACTCACTTTGCAGAGGAGGAAATGACTCCCCTGCGCCACCAGGAGGCAACTCAGGGGCAGCGTCCACCCTAGAATCCAGGCCAACTGGGCCAAGCCTTCTCCCAACCAGTAAACCTAAGTATTCAATCCAGCACTTATTTTTTCTTCTGAGCCAGAAATACCCTCAATTTAACCTGCAGAGTTGAGTCCAAAAAAGGATGCAACCTCACAACACTGGGACCAAAGCAAACGCCTCCCTGTCCTGCTGCCCCGACCTGCTCCCTCGCAGGCGCGAAGGCACTCACGGCATCTCCTCGGGCAGGACATCTGCCAGGATGTTGATCGAGTCTGTCTTGGCCTTCGAGGTGGGGGCTGCGGCCAGCAGGATCTTCAGCAGTGCGATCTAGGGAAGAGGAGGCCCTTTAGCCTGCCTGAGCGCCCGGGCGCAGAACTACGCTGAGAGGGGGTCCTCCTGGGGGGCTTCGGCGGCAGGAGGAGGGGCTGAAGGACAGGCTGCCAAGTCCAGTGCAGCGGGGAGGGCGATCCCATGGCAGGTGCCTACTGACGACCCCCGAGGGGCCTGGGGCTGGAGCCCTCTGTGGGGATGGGGGGCACTCACCATGTACTGCGGCAGGCTGGGGAGCAGGCCCTGGTACAGGGTTTCTGCAGGGACTTGCTCAACTTCCTCTTCCCCCTGGACGCAGCGGCACAAACAAACCCCAGTCCTGACCACGCTCTCCTGAGCCAGCTGCCCCGCTGGCTGGAGGAGAATCTGTCAGTACCACTGTGAATCGCCACGTTGACAATGAGAGCAGACCACGCCAGGCACTTCTACCAGCTCAGGAACCCTCACCACAGCTCTGTGACGAAGGTACTGCTCTGCTTCCCATTTTACAGGGGAGGAAACTGAAGCACAGAGAGGCCCAGTCTCCTGCTGAGTCGTCGCCCACTCAGTGGCAGAGCCGGGATTCAGAGGCAGTGACTGGCTCAGAGCCTGCGTTCTCAACCGCTACACCCAGCACAGGCCCCCCCCGCCCCCCACCCCGGCTGTGGGAGCGAGAGTGGGAGCTCTCTGAGGGCGGGGGCCGAGGCCAGGCCCGGCACAGAGCCGGGAGCAGCTGGGGAGCCTGCTGGCTGAGGAAGGCCTCCAACTCACCCCCGAGAGAGGAGAGCGAAGGTACTCCTCCTCCATCTGCGCCTGGACCTCCGCGATCGACGTGTACTTGTGCTGGAGAGAGAGGAGAGGGCGCTGGAGAGCCACGGCTCATTCCCCGCAGCCGCCCCACGCCCTGGACGAGGCCCTGAGCAATTTTCTTCCAACTACACCTCCTCCCAGAGGGCTGTATCTCCACAAAGATCCCTAACTAACATCCCAAACCCAAACCGTTTTTCTAAGTGAGTACTTGCTTTTAAAACCAGTGTTAAAAGAACACAAAAGATTAGAAAAGAGCAAATTAAAGGAGAGAAAGGGGCTTTCAGAAGGCTACAGTGACAGAAAAACTATTAAAAGCAGAATCAGGTTCTCAAAGAGCCCAACTGCACGGGGCCCACTTAGTACTAAAAACTTCAGAAATATGTTTCAAAAACATAAACATTTACACTCCAGAAACGCTGACAGGAGACACCTCTTCCCTACTCCTGCTCTTCCCTCCCCAGGTGGGGGCAGTGCGTGCACTGAACAGCCTGGCCCCTCCCTCCTGACCTGAGCGAACCGCACTGCCCGGGCCTGGCGGGGTGAGCGCCCCCCCAGAGCCGGAGACAGAGGCCGGCTGCTGCGGGTGCCTGGCGTCCTCCTCCCGTCGCTGCCTCAGTACGGCTGGCATTTCGCCTCCACCTGCCTGCTCCTCTGCCTCAGTGGCCTTAGAACTTGAGCAAGAAAAGGCGGGGTACCAATGGGCCCCTTAAAACTCCAAAAACTCTCAGATAGTACAGTCTCGAATAAGCTACCAGTAAGTCTCCAACAAAAGTTCAGCTGAAATAAGTAAAACCTATGAAAAAGAGCTGTGGAAAGGCGCAGCTCTGGGCCACCCATCCCTCCAGCCCGGGCGACTCCAGGCAGAGACAACAGAGGGAAACGCTCCTCCCAGCGGGCTGGGCTCACTTTACCCGCCTGGGACCAAACCAGGCCAAAAGCTCACCCAAAGCCACTACCTGTTTCAGAGTCTTGATGCTCTCGTGGATTGGCCTGGGCAGCCCCACCACTGTGTTCGTGTCGCTGGAGAATAAAGAAGGCCCTGTGTTAAGCCCGGACATCTATCCGCCTGGGTCCCCAAACACCAAAGGCCAGGGGAGTGAATGTCTCGTTACCTTTCCTCAAAAGGAACTCGGATCACACTCACCTGCCCAGGGTGTAGCCGATGAACTTGCTGCGGCTGCACTCGAGGAACACCTCGATGTCCTTCTCCCTGCCAGAGAGAGCGAGGTTTGCGCTCACCGTCACTCCAAGGTGGCCTGGTTGACAAACTACAGGACACCCCGAAACCGCGAGGCCCCAAGGAAAAGCCTCCCACAATTGTTTTTCTTTCTCTCTTTTATTTTTCTGTTCTTTTTTGTTTTTCTTCATGGGGGGGCGGGAGAGAAACTGAAGAACTGAAACCTTCAGGCTATTTTAATGTCTTTTATAATGTGGAATCAATAACCTGTAAATATATTACGTGTGACTAGTTTACCTGTAAAATCAAAGTGATTCATCAATTTAAAAGCCTACTTCATTCAGATATTAACAACTTTATCAATAGAACTCCTGAGGTATTTAGCAATTTTACAATGGTGAGAGCTATAAGCTACTGATTTTTTCGTGAGTCACATTTTCGTGTCTTGAACACCCAGCGTATCCTGCCTTTCCTGACACCCTGCTGTGTATTCGCATCATGGGACACTGAACACTGGGGCTGTTCCTGGGTCGAGGAAAGGGCTTCTGTATCCTCTCACGTGTTCATCTATTTCTTTAGTTGGCGCCTTTTCAAAGATTCCATTTCTATATATCCAGGTACCCTCCCATCCACTGATTCAAGCACATGTATCTCAACTGTCTTAATTACCGTTCTAAAGGAGCGCTTCCTTAACCTAGAATTTTTATGTTAACCATACAAAACCGCAGGGTGCATGGAGATGGGTTCACTTAAATTAAATGTCCTTGTTTTCACCTCTCCCACCCCCTTTCACCAGCTACCGCGTCTAACCAAGAGTTACCTCCCGTTACAGACTCAGGAGCACACAAGGGCCTCTGTGCAAAGCCAGCAGGGCCAGCCCCCCGAGACCCCTGGGCCAGCACCCAAGACCAAGGTCAGCCTGTCCCTGCAGGGGACCTCACATGGTGACTCGGGCCAGGCGCCACCCGAGGGTGCCAGGGCTCTGGTTTCAGGAGCCGAGAGCGTTCTGAAGGTCTGGGACTCACCTGACCTTGGGCGCCCACGGCAGCCCCTTCGGGCAGGTGAGCCGGTCGGTCTGGGGGTGCTGCAGCGGGGGGGGCATCACCTCGTCCCGCTCGAGGGGGAACGCCTCCCCCTCCAGACTGCTGTCATCATCGTTCTCCTCTTCCTCCTCCCGGGAGTCGTCAGCCTTGTAGGGATCCCGCTCATTGAAGGCATCCAGGTTGTCTTGCTTTATCAGAGCCTGAAGAGGGGGAGGCGAGAGCAGACGCCACGCACCAGCTGAGGGCCTGGCACCGGACAACAAGGCTACTGAGGCTGGGACGCAGACCGGTGGGAGGCGGGGCCCGGGCAGTGGAAGACAGGAAGGCAAGGTGGGGCCCAGGTGACAAGCCACATCTTGCCCTAGTTCCTTAAAAATGCCAGATCCCACGTACCCACTAAAAACTGGGCCCTGGGCCTGGGGACAGCACTGCTCCCTGGAGGCCTTCATCCTGACTAGCTGTTCAGAGGTAAATCCCAACCACGCTCATCCGGGGACCATGCCCCACCGTGTGTGTGCACCCCGAGAGCCCTCGGGAGGGGCAGGGACCTGCGTCGCGCTCACCTTGTGCTCCCGCCGGCCCCGCTTCTGCTGCTGCTCGATGAGGTCGGAGGCAGACGCTGGAGGAGAGGCGGCCCGCATGCTGCGGATCACTTTGATGCTGTCCTCAGGCAGCGGGGGGAGGCCCAGGAGGGTGCGCTTCTCAGCCTTCATGCTCTGCAGCTCCTCAAAGCCGCCCAGTGTGCACTGTGTCAGACGGGGCGCAGGGCTGGGTCAACAGGCCGCAGGCTGCGTCAGGCTTGAGCGCGCCCGGGCACCCCCATGTTGATAGGGCCCTCACGACCTCTGAACATGGGACTGTACCCACTCTCGGGAAAGTTCAGTGACATCAGAAAGGGAGAGGGGAAATAGGGGCTGACTGAGCCTAGTGCACAGATACATTCAGCTCTATGTGTGCAACATGCTCCTCGGGGTGGGGAGGGGGGGGAGGGAGACCGAAGGGCCTAACCCTTCAAGCTCCTAGAAAAACCGGTGAGACTGGACGCTTCAGAAGCTGTCCACGCCAGAAGTGCAAAGTCAGACCGGAAACTCGGGTGACCCAGGAACAATGCAGGGGTTGGGGTGCCGATACCCCGTGCAGCTCAAAACCCATGTATAGCTTAAGTTGGCCCTCCACCCACGGGGATTTGAAAAGGTGAATCGAAAATATACTTGACTCTTGAACATTGGTTTCAACTGCATGAGTCCACTTATATTTTAAAACCCGCATATAACTGGACCCACAAAGCTTCAACCTGTGTTGTCCAAGGGTCAACTGTATATTGTAAGATATTCCAATTTAAAAAAAAAGCTTCACCTAAACATCCCTTAGAAGCCAGAAGTGTGCAGCCGTTTCAGGCCGCTTGCTTTCACTGCTGCTGAGCAATTCAGCTTCCCCTCTGACTTCAGCGAGGCTCTGCAGAGAGCCAACAGGATGTGTGGCCAAGATCAAGGGTGCAGGCCACTCTAAAGAGGCCATAAGCCCTGGCCTGACCCCACAGGGCTGGCCCGTTCTGAAAGGAGGGAGGGCCGGGGGCCGCAGCAGTCCCAGCCCACGCCGGCCCTGCACCCGGCGCCTCGCGGAGGTGCTGCTCACCAACACCGTCTTCCAGAGCAGCAAGAGAACCTTCTTCATGGGGAAGTGAGGGGCATGGCCACTGCAAAACTTGGTGACCATCCCAAAGAGCATGATGGCGAACGGCTCGTTGTTGTACAGCGGGGAACCTGGCGACGACACGAAGGCACCGGGGTCATGGCGGGAGGGGCGTCTCGCAGAGCCCGCCAGCCCTGGCAGCCAGGCAGGGCCCCGGGGCCATACCCAGCTCCGCCCGGAAGGTCTGTCGCATCGTCTTCCACTCGGCTTTGTCCCCCTCACACTCCTGGTGAACAGTTTCCACAATCAGGTACATGATGTTGAGCAGGACCCTGGGGACAAGAAAACAGGGCAGGATGGGGGATCAAGGGAGGACCCTGACATCTGGGAAACCGGGCGTCCCACAGAGCGCTGGGGGCTCCCTCCTCGGCCCCGCGCGGCCAAGGCTGGGACCAGATCCGTTCTGCATCTGCAGCGTCCAGCAAAGTGCTGACTCAAAGCAGGTGCTTGACAAATGGCTGTTGAACGGACCACTATGAACAAGAATGGCCGAAGCATTCACTGCCCTGAGCTTCCTGGAAGGAAAACGACACCGAGGAGGGAGAGAGCTGTGGAAGCGGAGGGTCGGATCTGGCAAAGCAGAGCAGGGCGGGCATGAGAACAGGACACATGTGCCACGCTGAGGGCGAACCAGGAGCGAGCAGAGTGATGTGGGGGCCCTAAGTACAGCGCGGACACCAGCAACACCCAGGCCAAGAACTTCTAAATGCACAAAGAGACAGATTCTAATCCTCACGAGGAGGAGAAGGTGATCTTGCTCTTGAGCAGTTGCTATTATTTCCTGCACAGCCATGAAGTGTCACAAATGGTCATGACTAACCCTACACAGAGCGGGGCCAGGCTATGCATGAGAAGGTAGGAGCCCACAGAGTCGCATCGTGTGCCTCGTGCAATACAAAATGCCACACCGGGCTCTCAGCAGCACTGTGGTTCTGTTATAGGCGACTTCACCCTAGATCCCCTCGGGAGATCCAACCCAGAGCCCCCCCAGGGAGAGCCCTCAGCATGGCCAACTGATCCCACATGGCGCCCATCACGCCTGCAGGTTAGTGTGTGAGAAGTAACGTGCACAGCGCACAGCGAGAAGACCCAAGGATGCCCCAGGCCCTGCTCCACCGGCGCCGCGGCTGGCGCGGCCTCACCTCAGGTCTGTGCTGTCGGCCAGGGAGATGGCCGGCTTCCTCACCGCACTGCTGCACGCGGCGCTGTTGCTGCGGGAGAGGCTGCAGTCAGTGCCCCCTCAGAGGCAAGAGAAGGGGCTCCCCTCCCAGTCGGGGAACACAGCACTGTGACCTGTGCTGAGTCGGCACAAGATGCCACAGGACCCAGGGAGCCAGAACTCAGGCCCTGGACCAGACCTCAAGGCTGGGTAGCTCTGTGAGCCCGGCTGCCCCCCGCGCCCCCGGCCGTCCCACCCGCCCCTCGGGAGAACTCACTCTATTTCCATATTCAGAAGCTCCACCAAAGCATGGAACGTGCCCACCTCCAGGAGCAGAAAGATGTTGTAGCGCATCCAGGTCTGCACTTCTGCCTCAGAACCGCACTCCCCGAAGGTGCCTGCAGACCCAGCGCACAGCCCACTGAGCCCCTCCCGTGTCTGACTGGCCCGCGTCACTGAAGGAGAGGCCGGGGGCCCTGGGGGTCCACTCAGTACCTTGGGCCACATAGAGAATTGCCCGAGCCACCTTGAGTCTCTTCTCCCTGGCCGTGACTTCCAGGCCGTCCAGGAGCCTCATGGCATGGGTGCGATGCTGGTTGGTGTCCAGCTCGGTCCACTTCTTGTCTGTCACTGCAGGGCCAGAGACCAGCTACACCTGAGCCCAGAAAAGTCCTCACAACGGACCCGACACCGTGTTAACCCTCCAAGTTCAGGACTGCCACGGGGCCAGAAAACGCGGGAAGACCAGTTACTCTCTACATGAGGGGTACGGCCACGCTGCTGCTCTACGAATCTGAATTTCCAGACTGACACAATGCTATTTTGGGGGCAAGTGTAATCACATCAAGTGTCCTCTTTTCCCCAGTACTCACATTCTGAAAAGCCACCACCAGAGTATTTTCAAGCCCACCCTAAGTGTCACATCTGGCCTGGAACAATCACGGTTCAGCAGCCTTCGTAGGCCACTCCAGGACTGGGGTCTTCAGATGACCAAGAGACGCCCTGCAGCCCTCAGGACACAGGCTGAAAGGAACCACGAAGTGCAGGGCGCCGCCTCACCATGGATCCGGAAGTCCTCCTCAAAGCATTTCCGGTTCATCAGGAACTCTGGCCCTTCCGTGTAGCTGTAAAGCTCTGTCAAGAACACAGCCTCGTCAGCCCCGTGCCCAGATTCCACAGCAGGTCTCACATGCAGCAGAGACGGCGAGGCGCTCGCTGCTAGGCCCTCCTCCGTCCCAGAGTCACAGTCACTCCGGGACTATGTTCTTTAATTACGACGGGGGCCTTGGTGCCCTGACCAACAGGGTGGAGGGAAGGCTGGCTTCCCCAGCAGCCGACAACCAGAATGCCAGGTCAGCACAAACGCGGGCGCTGCCAGCCTGGTGCACTCAATCCCACCCCGCCACGCCAGAGGCTGGCTGTCACCACGAACATGGGCCTTTCAAGTGGCTGCTACCTCCTGAGGAAGACCTGTACTTCGGGGCTCGAGGAGCAGCTCAGCAAACCTCACGCTACACGTGAGCAGCAGCGGTAGCAACAGATGCGCACAGATGAGGCACACACGCTGGCAGCCCTCGGGACCCACTGCTCTAGGGGAGACCGCTATCAGAGGACAGCGTATGGCCAAGGAGCATCTCTGTCCACGCTGGGATTGGGCCACAGCCGGCTGAGCTGAGCGCACAGAGATGCTTCATAAAAGTAAAGGACCAGCCAAAGTTACGAGATACACAAAGCTTGAATCCAATAACTAACGTGTTTTATATACATCATTACTAAGACTAACTAGTGGGGGGAAATAAGCTCCCAAATGGCATCCACTCTTAATTTTATTTAAGACCAATAAGGGGAAAACAGCCCCAAGCAACACAAAGGTCTACGCTTTCTTACCTGAGAGCTCTGCGGCCCACTTGTCCGTGTCGGCGTACTCAAACTCCAGGTCTGGGGACTCGGAACAGCCCTGCCGAGCACAGGAGACAGAGACACGGAAGATGGCTGGGACTCCCGAGGAAGAAGCGTACATGCTTCCAGAGCCACTGTTGCGTGAAGGACCCACCGCCTCCACTTTTCTGATGTGTTATCACAGCACTTGGTCTCCCGGGCTAGCTCATGCCGCTCAGAGCACCTCGCACTTGTCCTTCAGAGCACCTGCTCTAACTTATAATTATACACTGGCACGTGTACCTGTGAGGTTCTGCCTCCCCAGGACATGGCAAGTTCCCTGAGATGGGGGGCTTGGTCCACCTTGCTCACCAGTGGTTTCACAACGCCCAGCACACTACTCGGCATGAGTGAGTGAATGAATGAATGGTTTGTACTCAAAAAAAAAAAAACAAAAAAAACCAAAACCCTCTTGCAGGATGGATGGACACAAAGCCTCTATGCATTCTGGGCAGTGAGTGAGTGGCCATTCCACATGGCACTCAGATTCCGGAAGCCTCCCTTCTTTCTGGCTGGCAGGCCATCAACAGCTCAGGGCAGAGGGAACACTGACGCCTAGTCCCCCTGCTCTCCTCTCACTCTGTGGTGACAGCTGACAGGAGGAGAAGGCAGGCGCTGCACAGAATGGCTCCCTCCCCAGCATAGGAGAGGACACTGACAAAGGGAATCCTTCTATTGCTGGCAGACAGGGGATCACTAAGAACACTCATCTTGGAAGCCTTATTCCCGGAAGAGAGAAGTGAAGAAAGAGGCCAAGTCCTCAGGCTTGACTGCAAGCCACCTGAGAAGACAAAGACCACCCACAAAATGACACAACATACCCACCCCCACAACCACTGACTGGCACGAAGACCCCTACTCCCTATTCAGACGCAAAAGAGAGCACGCTGGCGTGAGGTGCTGAACTTTCTTTTCGCTGATGGACTGGGGATGACAAAAATCTTCGTGGAAGGCTTTTAAGCACTCATCACCGTTAGAGAGCACACGGTGGGCTCTCACCAAGGGCCCCCTGCCTGTCCGCCCGGCGCTGCGCAGGCTCCCAGCCTACTGATTCCAGCTGCGGCTCAAGAATGAGCTGAGACCGCATCGTTATCCCTGAGGAAATGGATTTAGACAGGACTCTCAGCTTAAATGTGCCCACTGACTGACCGTCCTATGCTGAGCCCAAATCCGAACAGGTAGGAAGAGAAATTTAAATGCATCGAAAGGTATTTATGTGACCATTCACGGCTACTTAAGAAAATGTAAAAACTCTTTTCAAACTCTAACTCATGACAAAGGCAGGTTCATTCCCACCACCTTCGTAATGCTCCACACTTGAAAAATCAGTAAGCAGCCTCCAATGACGCCCCACCAGCCCACCCTGCGAGGGCTCCTAAGAGGTCTGTTTCTTTGCTTTCTCAAATAATTCACTTAAGAGCTCAAGGCATGTCTGCTTTGGACTTGCCAAGTTTTAACATGTTTTACCACAGGTTTGCCCCTGCCAACAAAAACCAAAGTGTGACCTCACATGCCTGAAGACAGTACCATCACGCATTGCTGTGACCTGGTACTTTATGCCTGGACAGCGAGGAATTCCCTCTCCTTAATAAGCGCCAGACTGATGAGCCTCACAATTGTACTGGGTGAAGGAGAGACCTCGCAGTAAGTGCCCTGGGAACGTGCTGATTCAGAAGCCCTAAATCGCTGCGACGTGAGTGTCTCCATTCACGAATTCCACAATGGGAGACAGTGGGAGGAATTAACTCGGGGTGAGGCGACTAGTCAGCTCCAGACTCCAGTGTCTCAGGAGGGGGAGGAACAGCCACTAGCAAGACAGAAGGGCACAGCTGAGCCCTCCTCACTCCTGTTTAAAATGTGTATTTCCGATCTTTCACAAGAGCTCAGCGGCGGGCGCACGGGGCACGACAACCCCGGAGGCACTGTCGCACCGTGGCCTGAACCTGCCCTGGCTCAGGTCGGATGGAATGTTGCCCCCCTCTCCGGGCGTCGCACCACGACTGGTGATAATTAGCTCCGTCCAGCTTCCAGGGCCCTTCCCCGCCCGCACACGCCGGCCACCGCGCACTGTGGCACCCACAGGACCAGAGGCAGAGGGGATTAGGGACCGGGGGTCTGCCGCCCGCCCCCCTGGAGCGCACGAAGGCCACCGACTCCCCACCCTCGAATCGGGGCTGGGGACGGCTTCCCAGAATCTGGGGCTCCGAGCGCGCATCCACAGCTCCGACCTCGGAGGAGCAAACGAGCAGCCTCTGACACCCGGAGGTTCTCCCGGGCGGCGGAGCTCCGGGCGCGGACCCCGGCTTCACGCCCCCGGTCCCGGCGGTGCCAGCCTTCTGTCTTCCTGCTTTCCTCGTAAGATGACAACTCCCCTGCCAGGCCCCGGAGAACCCTTCGGGAAACCCAGCTTGGACCAAGAGCTGCCGCGGGGCCGGGCCCCGGGCCCCCAGCCACCGCCCGCCGGTGCTGGCCTCGCCCCCCGAAGCTCCTGACCTCCGAGTCTTTGCGCTGGTTGCGGTTGAACTCTCGGGCTTTGCCCCCGGGCAGGAGACCCCCGCCGGCCCGCGGTGCCCCGGGTGGCGGCTGCGCGGTTGCGGGCGGCGGAGGTGGCGGTGGCTGAGGCTGCTTGTTGTTCATAATCAGCGGCCCCGGGCCGCCGGCTGCCGGCTCCATCTTGGCTCTTCCACACCCCCAGCTGAATTCACGTACAGTAGCTGTGATGCAGCTCTCGCGAGATTTCTAGCAGGAACGCTCCTTAGTCGCCATATTAAGTGTGGCGGCAAGTGCTGAAGCCATCTTGGCTGCCCAACACCTCGCGAGAGTCCCCCTGCTTGAACTCTTACCTTTTCCGGTCCTTTCAGTTTTACCACTTCAACTCAGTCCCAGTTTAAATGTCCTTTTATCTGCGAGACCTCCCTTAGCTCCTGCAATCGTTTTAGTTGTCCCCCAACTTCCTTTAACATGGCTTTGCATGTCATAGTGAACAAAATGGACACGTCCCCAGTCTCCAAGTCGTTTACTTTCACATGGGGGAGATACGCTAAACAAATGAATAAATAAAACAATTGCAGTTTTTGACAAACAATCATTCATCATTCATTTAACACTTAGAATTTCTCCTCTATGCTCGGTCAATTGCTTCACATAGTGCCCGTGGGAGAGACAATAAGCACACGCATGTATATTAGAGACATAAGTGCAGGTAAGAAGCAAAAAGCAGTGGTGACGGGAGCACGGCTACATCGGGTAGGCTGCCAGGGAAGGTAGGCCTGAGGGTGTGATCTTGAATGAGTTCTGAAAGGAGAGCGAGCGAGCCCTGCGAAGATCCACCGAGGCCAGTGGTGGAGCGGGGGACCCCTTTCACTGCGGAAACCCTGAGCTTAGAGTGCAGGAACTGAATGGCGGGGCGGGGGCGGAGGGAGCTCTTGTAGAGGATGGACCGGTAATGCTGGGCCTTGAAGGGCATGGGAAGGAGTTTGATTTTATTCTAAATGAAATGGAAAGCCAGTGGAGGTGTTGACCGGGGAGGTGTAATGGTCTGATATTTAAAAGACCAATCTGGCTGCTTTTGGAGAAGAGATCGAAGAGTAGCAAGGGTGGATGAAAGTTGACAGATTAAATTATATAGATGGAAATGATGGTGGTTTGCACCAGGGTGAAGCACTTGCGTTGATACGTTTCTGTTGTGTGGGTAGATTCGACAGGACTTGATGAAAGGCTGGACTCCTATCAGTAGGTTAGAGAGGAATAAAGAATGAGTTCCAGGTATTTGTCTTGAGAAACTGGGTGTGTGGTTGTGTTGCTTTTAAAAAATAGGGATATCTGGGAGAAAGAAAAACTGACTTGAGAGGAAGGTCAAGATTTCTGTTTTGCACATGTCAAGTTTGAGATGCCCATTAGACAACTTAGAGGATGTGTGTAGGAATTATGTTACTACGCTGTGAAATCCTTAGAGGCATTTTATCCATCTTTTTCTCTCCAGAACCACATCTTGTTTGGCTGCTCCACGCCCCCAGCTCAATTCTCAGAATGTCCCTGTGGCATGTTCTCTGCCATAGTCCCTCCCAGGAGGTGCTTTAATGTAAAAGAGCATTTCATCCAAGCTGGGCTGGACCAAGTTGATAGGAAAAACTAAGGAATGTACAGGAAAAGGACCAATGCTGAGAGGCTTCTTAAAGTCAGCAAATCCCACACAACCCACACACAACTGACATCTAGTTTTAGTGACCATAGTTTGGCCAAGTTCTAAGACTGATCTACCACAAGCTCTATTACCTGGGGGGAAAATTTAGACCTTTAAAAACCTACACCGTCTTGGCTATATTCAAAATAGGGAAGACTTTGGTTCAGTAATTCCACTTGTAGTAACAGATCCTAAGGAAATAACAAAAGATTTAGACAAAGATATATGTATGCTGATGTTTTGAGCAGTGGTATTTTCGATAGTGTGAAGTTGGGACCAACAAAAAAGACAAATTGGACTTCACGAAAAAAATTTAAATTTGTGCATCAAAAAGACACTATCCAGAGTAAAAGGGCAACCTACAGAATGGGAGAAAATATTTCCATATCACATTATCTGATAAGGGATTAATATCCAGAATATATGGAGAGGTCCTAAAGTTCAACAAAAAAAACAAACCACCATATTTAAAAATGGCTAAAGGACTTGAATAGACATTTGTCAAAAAAAGATAAACAAATGGCCAAAAAGCACATGCAAAGATGCTCAACATAACTATTATAAGGGAAATTCAAATCACAGATACAGTGAGATACCACTTTATACCCGTTTGGTTGGGGCATCTACTATCAAAAACCAGAAAACAAGTGCTGACAAGATGTAGAGAAGTTTGAACCCTTGTGCATGGCAGGTGGAATGTAAAATGGAGCAGCTGCTGTGAAACACAGTATAGAAGTTCTGCAAAAAAGTTAAAAATAAAGTTACTACATGATTCAGCAATTCCACTTCTGAGCATATATCCAAAAGAATTGAGAGCAGGAGCTTCAAGGGTTATCTCTACATGTACATTCTTAGCAGTATTTTTCAAAATAGCTAAAAAGCAACAAGTGTCATGGTTGGATAGATGGATAAGCAAGATGTGGTAAATACATACAACAGGATATTATTCAGCTTTATAAAGGGAATTCTGCAATATGCTATAACACGGATGAACCTTGAGGACATTGTGCTGAGGGAAATAAGCCATTCATAAAAAGATAAAATACGTATGATTCCATTTATGAGGTATTCAAATTCTTAGAGACAGGAAGTGGTTGCCGCGGGACGTGGAGCGAGGGGAACAGGGCGCTGTTAACAGGCGCAGAGTCTCGGTTTTGCAAGATAAAAAGAATTGAGGGTAGATGATGGCAATGGCTGCACAGCAATGTGGCTACAGCTCTGGCTGGTGTGGCTCAGAGGATTGAGCGCTGGCCTGTGAACTGAAAGGTTGCTGGTTTGATTCCCAGGCAGGGCACATGCCTGGGTTGTGGGCCAGGTCCCCAGTTCAGCAGGGTGTAAGAGGAAACTGATGGATGTCTCTCACACATCAACGCTTCTCTCTCTCTTCCCCCCTTCCCCTTTCTCTAAAAATAAAATCTTTTTTAAAAAACCAATGTGAATGTATTCCGTTATCATTGAACTGTATACTTAAAATGCTTAAGATGGTAAATTTTGTTATATGTAATTTTCCACAAAATTTTCTAAATTAAAAGTATCAATTGAACATAAACATATGTGGGAAAAAATGGTACGGGTTAGGGCTTCTTCCTATTAGTCATATTTTCACATTTGATTTTGAGAGGAAAATTAGAAAAGAGTAGACCTTGTTCACTAGACATGAGCAAGCTCACCGCACACACCAGAAAAAGCCCCAAGTGCTGTTCGCTCCCATTGCCCGTGTGCCAGAGGAAGACAGTACCTTCCTTATCATATCTGAGCATTAAGACTTGAGGTAGAAGTCTTCGCTTGAAAAATATTGACGCGAACCCATCCCCTCTGTTGACCCATCCCCATGGAAGCAAGCAGGAAGGGCCAGTGAGAAGGCTGTGCTCTTGGCCTTCACTCAGGAGGGTAGCTTGCTTTTACTTACCCAGTTCAAGCTCCCTACTTGACTTCCCGACTGCGTGAAGGGCTCCTTCGGAAGTAATGTGCCCGGACAGAAATACCAAGGCAAGGGACTCATTGAAGAAAATGGACCTTTTTCTGTTTGGTTTTTATTTACTGAAACGATGGAATCAGTGATGAGTATGTGGGAGAACTTGTGGGATTTAAAACCAAGCGAACCCAGACACAGCGGCCCATCCACTGCCTGTCAGCGAGCCTCAGGGCCCAGGAGCGGGTGAGCTGCGAACTGGCCCCGGCTTCGGGAAGCGGGTTCCCCAGGGTGCCAGGACCGGCACTCCGGAGGCGCGAGTCAAGGCGTCTGCAGTCTGGGTCTTCATGCCCACGCCTTTCCTTCTGCTAAAAGAATCTTCGCGGAGAAATGACATCCCCTGGCAAACTGCCTGAAAGTACCCTGGGGAGCCTCAAGGCAATGTAGAAGGGCCGCAGGGAGGCGGAAACACTTGGGGTCACACCCTAGCTCCACCTGTCAGCCGCACTGCGGCTGTAGAGAGGTGTTCGACTTCCTCACGGCCCTGAGAGTTTGTCTCTCAGTAGGTCTGGGACAGAACACAGGGATTTGCATTTTTAACCAACCCCACATGCGACTCAGATACTAGAGCCCTGGTTTGGGGCTGTTTCCGAGAAGCAATGTCGCTCAGCGCTAAGCATGGATCCTGGAGCTGGACTGTCTGGGTTAATTCCAGCTCCACCAACTTAGGTGCCGAGTACCTCGGGCAAGTCACTTCACCCCTGTGTCAGCTTCCCGACTGTAACATGGGGGTAACAGTAGTACTCCTCTCATGGGGTTACTGTGAGGATCAAGTATGCTGATTGCGTAAAGCGTAGAGAATGGAGCTAGCACACAACATGACGTTTAAGTGTTATTCTCTATTCTAGAGCTACAAGCCTTTAAAATTTTAAGAAATTCTAAAAAATAAATAAATAAATTCCTGCAGTTGGGCCAAAACTAAATGGCATCAAAACCTGATCTGAACTGATGGGCGGCTATCAATAGTTGTTACTTTTTCCTTTTTCTGTAAATATTAATAAACTTACTGAATACAAGCATATTAACATTTGACATTGAACGCTACTCCACATCCCCCTAATAAGTATTACCTCATACACTATTTATTCGTGTATTTCCTAAAAATCTGAAATATTCTCAATTTCAAAACAGGGGTTCAGAAAAGGGATTGTGGACTTAATACCCTTTGTTGGCCAGATGTGAGACAGTGCGCCATCTGGTGGTTGAAGTGGAGAGCCACGGCTACAGCACGACAGGATGAAGGTAAAGGCCCAAGGATCCCAGACAAGCATGATACACAATTCTTTTTAGAGCACAATTTAAAATGTCTTCAAGGGCTGCTGTGTGGGCAGAGAAGACATTGTTTCAGTTAAAAAATATATATCATTCAGCCCTGGCTGGTGTGGCTCAGTGGATTGAGCACTGGCCTGCAAACCAAAAGGTTGCAGGTTTGATTCCCAGTCAGGGCACATGCCTGGGTTGAGGGCCAGGTCCCCAGTAGGGGGCATGAGAGGCAACCACACACTGATGTTTCTCTCCCTCTCTTTCTCCTTCCCTTACCCTCTCTCTAAAAACAAAAAAAATAAAACCTTTTAAAAAAGCATTCACTTATTAAAGCAAGTGAAAAAAATTACTTAATGCTTTTTAAAGTTCACCTTATAGATCTTATTCATAAATCTAGCAAATGTTAATCATTTTTAAGGAGATTCTGAATATCCAATTTATAAACTTAAACTCCTTTAAACATTTCCAAATGCATGTGTATATTTAATACATTTTATTTCCCTTTTTCGAACACTTCAATTCCAAACCAAATGCAAAGAAAAATAAAAAACAAAATACTATTAAAAGTTCCAATAGTGTATAGTTTCCAACAGTACATGTATGTGTGTGTATATATATGTAATTATTTGCAACTGAAAATTGATTAAGTCTAAATTTCTCAGTTACACATTCTAAACTGGAATCATAAATTCCTTCAAGTAATTTTCAAGTTGCCTTATCAGTGTGTTGAGGTGTCCTTACCCCAGAGTAAGTCCTGGCCAGGATGCAGGTGGATTTAGCATCTGCCACCTAGACTAGAATTCTCCTTGTTTGATGTCCCTTGCTTCCTGATGCTTTCACTTTCTCAGTTTCTGCTCTCAGGGACTCCCTCTTCTTTCCTACTAGAATGCAAGTTTAACGACTTCCACCACGTCTTTCCCGTTACAACTAACACAACCTTTGTGTCTGGCTCAGCAACCTTTTTTGGCAAAGGGTCGGAGAGAAAATATGTTTGACTTCATGGGCCATTTGGCTCGAATGACTCGACTCCACCACTCTGGCATGGAAGTAAGCCACAGACATTAGATAACGAATGAGCAAGGCTGTGCTTAAAACTTCTGAAATTTGCATTTGGATTTATGTGCATGGATAAAGTCTCACGGAATTTAAAAAACACCTATTTTACCAGTCTGCACAGAAATCATCAACATTGTTTAGGTCCGATTTAACAAAATAGAAAAGGTATTACTTTTGAACAATATTAACAGATACATGTCACATGAGAAGACAAGTGAACAACTTCAGAGACAGGAGAGGAGCTTCAGCTCACATAATTCGGGAGACCTTCTTTAAGGTGAAGAATTAGGTACAGGGTCTTAGAAGGCGACTAAGTGAGGAGCCCTGAAGCTTAAGCAGAAGGCGTGCTCCTCGAAGACAGTGAGAGTGGACTCTCTGGCACAGAGCAGGCACTTAGGATACAAATCTGAAGGGATTACTAAGGACTCGGACTCCAGCCTGTTGCTCTGCGAATTAGGTCCTCAACCAACCTCTACAAGGTGCTGCTGACTGACCCCTGCCTTGTCCCAGCCTAGACAACAGGTTCTAGTGAAGTTTTGCTCTTCAACCAAGAATGACACAGATGTCCAATAAGGTCTCATCATTTTAATTGACTTTAATGATTATTGCTCATCTGCAAGGATTAATATTGCATTCATTAAAAATCATTCAATACAAAATAAACTTGTTCCTCCCAAGTTGCTCTCCACATGCTCCCTCTGATGCCAGACGTTTTTCCACAGTGTCCTTGTTACATGGCTTGACAGAGACGAAGCCCTTACCTACTATTCCTACGGACACAGTAACAGACATGGGAGCAGGGGCAGGCCAGAGGGAAGCAGGACCTGGGCCGCTCCCTCCAGCAGAGCCGACGCGATGGATACCCCTGCTGGCCAGGTTACTTCCCCTAAAGGATGTGGTGTTCTGATTGGCTGGTTACACGCCCTGGGAAAAAGGGCTTGAACCTTTAGCATCTACAGAGAAGCAAGCACAGCCATTCTGGCGAGGAGAGGGAAGGGGCTGGGTGGGGAGAAACAGGAAAGGGGAAAAAGTTTGGCAAGACCCTTGTGCCCTGCGAGGAAGTGGCAGAGCAGAGTGAAAGCTTTCCTTTTTTATATTCCTGTTTTCATGTCTGTCTCTCTGATCAATGGCGATAGAGAAATGAAAATTCCTAGTACGCAGCGCTAACGCCTGACCCAATTTTGAAGGATCACAAGCTAGAACAAGTTGAGGATTGAGGATCCTGGATAATTATATAGGTAAAGCTCAGGAGCACAAGGCTCACGTGACCATGCAGAAATGCCGGTGAGCAGGTGCACGGCCAAGGACACACCTCTGATTGCGAAGAGCCTCTCTGGGGAATTCTTTCATAGCGTGAGCCAGGACATACTAGCCGCTTTCTCGATACACAAACTGTCCTCTAAGATCTTAGTTCAGAAACTTTTTGTGACATGTGTCGATCCAAAGTGGTACCACCTCTGTAACACTAATGTTACACAGGGCCTAAGGCCCGGCCAGTTATCTGGAGTTAGCATTCCCTCACCATGGCCCAAAACATCCTTCCTCCTCCCCAACACGTACCTCCCTTTCAATATTTTAGGTTGCAGAAGCATAGCTGTCCAGAAATTTGCTCTTGAGGGATAAATCCTAAAAAGAGAGCTCAGTGCTTTATACTGAGTAATGGCTCAAGAAATTCGCCTTCAGCACAAGCTGTATGGGGCAGAGCTGATAGAGTTGGCTGTTAGGACCACAGTTCATTGAAGCTAGAAACTGTGGGCTAGGAACACAGATTTATCAGAGTTTGAGACCAGCATTTCTCTAGACTCAACTCTGCCCTCTTAGCTCCAAAGCTTTGAAAGAGAAGCTGATACCGACTAGCCACCCACGCAGTTTCTCTGCATTAACACTAAACACGTGTCTTACATATGTTTTGTACAACAGAAATAAATGCTAGGGGAAAAAATTCAACTTAACTGAGTGCAGTCTGGTTAAAAACCTGAAAAATGAGAGGGTCTGGTGGGCGTGGAGGAAGGGCTGTCCTAATCCAAGCAGGCCTCCTGGATCTGAACAAGCAGCACTCAGAGCACACACCTCTGAACCAGACCTGCCCCCTTTACACAGGAAACAGGGCTTGGATTATCGAGGGGGAATTAACACACACCACCTACGTCTAACCTACCTGGCTGGCAGGTGCCATCCCTGCTCCTCTGAAAAAGTCAAAGAGCACTGATTCCAGCAGCTAAGAAATGGGTTCTTTTAAGGCAATTTAGACATTGCAGATTGTTCCACCTAGGAGGTACCTTACATTTCCTGTTAACAAGGTACCCAATTAAGACTAAAGTCCCCAGAAATGGTACAGAAAGAATTGCCTTTCTGGGCTCGGAGAGTAAAACCCTTCTTCAGTGACTAGAGTGAGGACCCTTGAACCTCAGCTTCATCTAAGAGCCATGAAGCAAGCTCCTGTGTAGTCTGCAGAACTTGGACAATGAGATGAAAAGACAAGAACGAAATCATAGGAAAAAAAATCAAGAGGAAAGAAATAAGAAGAGAATAAAAGTTATCTTAAAAAAGATTTCTTTTAGAGTTGTGTTGTTCGTGTGAGCTGGTCCTTGGTGATGTGGTCCATCAGTATCTGTAAAGAAAGAGAGGGCCGGCTTGGTGCCGTGTCTTCCACGGGAGCAGTCCGAGGGGAGCCTCAGGACCAGACACGCGGCCCAGGGCCCCTCCGCGGCCCAGGCTGGGGAGCCCTGCAGTCACTCCCCTGGGCTTCCCCGGGGCTTCTGACATTTCCGGCAATGTCACCTCCTGCTCCCTGATAATATGAGTCAGTGGTTTTCTTTTTTTTTTTTTTTTGAGTTATTGGTTTTCAGCCTTGACTATATATTAGAATAATCTGGGGAGCTTCTACAGAATAAGCCTAGGTTGCAACCCAGACCAACTGTATCAGAATCTCTAGAGGTGGGGCCCACTCTCCAAAATTTTAGGAAACCTTTACTTCTTCACATCTACTAAAAGATATAGTTTTTCTGCCTACCCTGTTAATTTGGTGCAGGGTTCCTGAACTCTTCCAAATCGGGTGTAACATTAGCTTTGTTGAAGGAAGCTGGCTGGTCGGCGTAGTTTAATATTGCAGAGAACTTCTCACTCACTCCCCCAAGTTACCTGTAATAATTCGGCTTGAATGGCCCGTTTTTGTTGAGTCCCAGATATTTTGCTTGGTCATCTGTCAGCTCTGTCAGGTGCGCATCAAAGGACGGCAGGTGCAAGCTGGCCACGTACTCATCTAGGACGAACAAAGTGACAGGGGAGCAGACTCCATTTCAAACACGCTTCTTGGGGGGTGACCACCCCGACTTCCATCTGAAGCTTTTTGAGAACGGACAAGGGATGGGATAACTTTGGAAGAATTTACAACTTGAAAATTTGCTTACTTAAAAAAATCCCTGACACTGCCTAGGCAGGGTCTCTCTCTCAGTGTACCCAGAGTGCATTCAGAAAACCACTTACCAAGGTGGCAAAACGGCACGGACTTGTACCTCCCGTCATCCCTGGCAAAGCTTTTGGCTTCGCCTCAGGGGCCAAGGTGCCAAGACCTACTCTCACCTCCCTGCAGCGACTTCCTTAATGGGATTATAGTCAAGTTCTGAATCAAAGTGGCCACTGGGAAGCTTAAAAGGACCTTGCGTCATTTACATTCATTTAGGATAAGACCCACAAAGGCCTCTAATCTTAGGGTCAGGGATTTCTAAGGCAGCTGGCACAAGTTTACTACATTTCCATGGATAAGGTTCTCAGGTTTTATTTTTATGTATGAATTTTAAAAAGCAAAACAAAACAATCTGAGGCAAGCTATTGGAGGTGATGAGAACAGTAAGTTTTTTAGCTTTAAGGAGACAGAGTTTTGGGCCGATCAATAATAGGTGGGAGGTGAGGACCACAGAGCAGGAAAGTAAAGAACTAGACATGATATATTATGTCATACGAACACAGCACAGCTGTCCCCTAGAATGACAAGAGGTTGTTTGCATATCAACATGGACGATGCACAATAAAGACCATATTTGCTTCTCTTTCTCCTTTTGGTCCTAAGCCGTACTCGGCAGTAAAGTGGGAAGTTTACTGAACTCTGTAAGGCTACACAGAATAAGAGCATCTACCCACACCCATTGTGCTGAGCACTTTTACTTATCAGCTATAATTCTTGCTACAGTTCTGCAATGCATGTAGTATTCCTACTTTACTGATTAAAAAACAAAAACAAAAATAAAAACTGAGGCTCATGGAGATTAGAACTTGTCCTAAAGCCCGAAAACGTCAGCGCTAGACCAGCAATTAGAACTTTCTCAATCCCACACTTTCCACGATGCTCATTCTACCAAACCCCGCAACAGTCTGGGGTCGGCGGGGGGTGCGGTTCTCCTGTTTCCCACTCACCCATTTTCTTGGGCAGCAAGTACACGTCTTGTTTGTAGCGTCCGTCGGGCGCGTTATAGAGCTCTATCAGTGCCAAGGCCTGAGTTGGGAGAAGAGGGTCAGAAAACTCCAAACCCTCAGTGGCACAGCAGGGCCCCACTCCCCGGCGCGCTGGCCTAGGCCCAGCCCCACCCTCTCAGGCGGGACGAGCAGGCGCCAGGCCACGTACCTGCGTGGTAGCTGTGATGGACAGGACGAAGGTGGGAACCGTGGAGCAGCTCAGATTGAGCAGACGGCCCTGGAGCGGGAGGGGGACCCGGGGTGAGTTGTGCTATCCCTCCATCTCCCGCCCCAAAGTCACACCAGTCACGCAAATGTAGGGGATGTCTTTATACCCTTCTGGACTCGGTTGGCAGAGGAAGAATTACAAGGCAGGTTTTGTTTTATTTTATTTTCTGCAAGTTCCCTGAGTCCGACAAGCTGAAGACTCATTTGTAGACATGAAATAGTACGTTACTTAGTAAAAAGTAGAAGTCTGCGTGACTTGACTTTGGGGACCAGATCATTTGAAAAAGACATCGTTATCCAAAGACAAAGGGCAGGGAGGCAGAGGCCCAGTGTTCTTCCCACCTCCCTGCCCCCCACAGGTCTAACTGCACGGCTGCGCTGCGCTGGCAGGGCCCTGCTGTGCGTACCTCCGCCAGGAGGACGACGCGCTTGCCATCTGGCCAGATGACATGGTCCACCTGAGAACGGACTCGCTCCCACGTCAGCTCCGGAGTGCGGAGGCTGGTCTGAAAGGCAGACACGGCACAGTGACGACCGCGGCCCTCACGAGAGGAGGAGGGAAAAGGCCCCACCGCAAAAGCACGAACAGCCTCACCACATCGATTTCCGTGTTGGAGTGGCCCATGTTGCACACGATGCAGCTGTTTTTCATGCGGTCTAGATGCTCCCGCGTCACTACATTCTTATTTCCTAAAAGGAACAGAGAGGGGCTGAAGAAAGCGATGCAGGGGAACACAGGCGCTGAGCAGCCTCCGGTCGGCACAGGGACAGGAGACATGCTGGCATCCGAGAGCACGGCCATGCTGCGAGCGAAGGTGCGCGCGCTGTGTCGCAGCTCTTTAGGCTGCGTTACTTGGCTTTATGATGGAGCGGTATGAAAAGCCATCAGGGAAGACGACTCTTTGTTCTGGAAACACATTAAGGTTCTGACAGCTTCCTCTAGTTCAGAGACTCTTATACTAAGCATGGGCCTCGCTTTCTATGAAAGCCAGCCTGACTGCTTGGAAGACTCAGCCCCAGGGCGAGCGCTGCTCCACGCAAAACAAAGCACGACACTCACCTGTGCACGTTATCACGACATCCACTTGCCGGATGACTTCATTTAGCTTTACCACCCTGAACCCATCCATGCTGGAAGAAAACAAAGGACACTAAGAGCAAAGCAAGGGGGCGGGGGAAGGAGCTGGTCACACAATGGGACAAGTAAATTCCTTTCTGCAGTCAGATCCAGGGCTCCCCCTCGGGGGTGGTGAGTGACTAGCTGTGCTCAACTACCCACACTGGCCCCAAGACCCCATGCAGGGAGGGGGGTGCTAAGCAGCTTGAGGAGCACCCTGGGGCTACATGGAGGGACAGAGCAAACTAGCCTTCTCCTCCCCGGGAGATCTCGGCAAGGAACAGTGCCCACACCCGGCCACGAACTCTGAGGCACACGAAGCACTGCCGTGACCCACGCGCCCCCCTACCAGGCCTGCAGCGCACAGATGGGGTCGATCTCTGTGATGTAGACCACGGCTCCGAGGGCCTTGAGCGCCGCACAGCAGCCCTTCCCCACCTGCGGGGCACGAGACAGAAGCCGCCATCAGGGCCCCTGAGGCCAGCACAGGCGCAGAGGGGTTCTGGGGGAGGCGGGAAGCTCGCCCCCTGAAACCGCCGATCGGCCGGCGGGCCCTTGCAGGGAGTTGCCAAGCCGGGCAGAGCAGAAGCAGATCCAGATTAGGCCGTGACCCTGAGCCAGACGTTATATTCCACGGCGGGGCTGGGGTTTGGGACAGTACGAGACTAAGGGAATCAACATGTTACCATTAGGGAAATAAGGCCAAGGAAGAGCTACTAGAGCCTCTCGTTTCTTAGTCCAGAAGGACCCGCTAACTCTCATTCAGACACAGCGAACCCAAGCACAGCCTGGAGGCTCAGGAACTTCAGGGGGTCATCACTGATGACAGCGACGTAATCCCTTCAGCTACCCTAGTTTAGAGACAGTCGACAATGTGCCGCTTCGGATTCTACCCTTCACTCCACTGCCAGTCACTTGTGGGGCTACTCATGCACTTAAGTCTCAAAAAAAGGCTGCTGTTATCAGTGAGAGGAAATCGATGCCAACATGCCATTCCAAAAAAACAAAGAGGTGAAGTCTGAAAACTTGGTTCATTCTCTATGTCGTTATCCGCGCATCTGAATAAAGGACTTCTGTATCATTCCGAGATACAGCATCTAGAAGGTACTTCGGAGCACGAGTCGGCGCCTCCCCCCTGGGGGCGCGTCTGCCCTCAGCCTTGCCGGCAAGCCCAAGAGGAGACAGGCGCCGGGGCCCAGCCGTTTACCTCACCGTAGCCACACACCACCACTTGTTTCCCACCAAACATCACATCTGTGGTCCTCTTCAGGCTGTGGAGACAAACAAGGGCTCAACTCGAGCATTCATGGCTTAAACACAGTCCTTCTGCACATAATTAAAAGCGTGGGGCATGCCCCACAAGAACTCCAGCTGGAGGTTGGCTCGGCTTGGCATGAAATGGGTCCCCCCCGCCCTGCCCCCCCAAGCCAAAGGAGAAGGGGCGGGGCGCGACCAGAGTGATGCAGACCACACTGCAGCCCCGCCCTGCCCCACCCAGCCCGGAGCCCGAGCAGCCGGGTGCTCTGACCCACCCATCCAGAATGGACTCTCGGCAGCAGTACAGGTTATCAAACTTCTGCTTGGTGACAGAGTCGTTGACGTTCATGGCTGGAACACAGAGCTTCCCAGCTTTGGAGAGCTGATACAGCCTAAAGGGAGAAGAAGCCACAGAAACAGCCGAGTTAGTTGGTAAAACAGCAAGTGGCAGGCTCGGCCTAATTCTCTGCAAGCTCCATGCTGCCCTCCCCGGCCTCGTGCGCCCAAGGACCCTGGCAAATAAGGTGATTTCCTTGTCACCCCTCCTCGCTTCATTTTCTCCACCGCCACCCTCTTTTTTAGAAGGAAAAAACAATCCTTGCAGTTGAAGAAATTTACTTCTTTTCCACAGAAGGGGATATATTTCCTTAGACCAGCACTTTCTCATCTTTATATAGTCCACGCCTACTTCTGCTACGAAAAGACGAGCAACGCTCCGACGGCCCCCGTGTGTGGGGGTGCAGGCGGCGCGCCCCCAGTGGAGGACACCTCCCGGGTGCCTTTCAGATACCCGGACAGGCCAAGCCTACTTTGCCCCGTTGACTTTTTGTAGCACGTCTAAAGTAGTTTTACAATAGAATGTTTTCGTCTTTCCAATATAAAATTATAATACAATATTGAATACAGTTTCTCAAGATACACTCACTCCCTACCCCCTCCCTGGTTGAGAATCACAGTGAAGTGGGAGAGAAAGATGTGTAAACTACAACCTGAAATACCTTCCTTTTAGGGTCTCCTTGATTTTTCAAAAGTAAAAACTCAAGAAGCTTTGTCTACTAGAAACACACCGCGTCCGACAAGTCTGACATGGCCCTACGGCCTAAGGGAGCAGCAGACTTCGCTGAGGCAGGGACACGGGGGCAGCTACTCCAGCATCTGTTACCTGTGAACACCAGTCACGCTCTCTTCCACAATGCCTCGGATCTTCTTAAACACGTTTGGATACTTCTTATAAACCCAGTGGGTTAAGTCTCCCCCATCATCCAGGATCTACAGAACAGCCAGAAGACTTCTATGGGCATTCAGGCTGCTAGGGCTGGGGGAACTTTGAACCCTCTTTCTGTGCTAGTAAGAGAGCCCTGTGTGTTTCGGAAGAACACTCCTCAGCACTCCTGAGAGCAGGTCTGGACAGTGTAAATGGTCACATTTGTTGGTGTAAAATGGTCAAGAGGATTCCTAAGTTTGTTCTAGGCTCCAGTGAAAAGTGTCAGGCTAATCACACTTATTTCCAGTCGGTCCTGAAATGCAGAGCCCCCTGAATGCAGGAGGAGGACCGGGGCGGGGAGGAGAAGCGAGCACCCGCTGCGGAGAGGCGCCACGCACGCCCCTTCCTGCTAGTGCGCCCTGCTGTCCGAGCCGCGCGCGCTCGGTGAGTCCTGCCCGGCCCCATCTGTCCACTCAGCGCTCAGGCCCGTGCTGAACAGGCATCAGGCTGCACACGTTGGCAACAAAGTAAGTGCGCCAGACCAAACATCCAAAACAGACTGAGGGCACCATGCTTTGAGGGAGAAAGGAAACAAGTCCATTGTCCAAGTGTAGGATGAAGATGCATGATTACCATGTTGGGCTGCCACCCGTCCGTGTTCACACAGCGGTCAATACACCACCAGAAGTCATCTTCCGACTCGCCCTTCCACGCAAACACTGCGACTCCTGTACAGAGGGACACAGATCAGCGGGCTCCTCCTGGGGGCGTGTCCTATACCAAAGTCGCCTTCTGAGATCCAGGTGAACAGGAAAGGGCTACCCAAACCATTCTGGAGATGCAGTAACTTAGGAAGGGCAGAAAGTCAAAACAGCACCTAATGAAGTAAAATCACATGTCCATGTGGCTGAGCACGGGGACAAATGATGCTGTCAAAGTTTTCAGTTACTACTTCTGATAATGTTATACTACTTTGATTATAAAATTGTGATTCCAGGATCAAGTTCATCTCTGTAAAGAGTGAACAGAAAAATGAAAAACTATGTCAAGTATTATCATTTCTGTGCAGCAGGATTATGGTGTTTTGTTTTGGAACCCCTACATTTTTTGCAATAAATACCAGAAAAGAGTAAATAACAAAAGTGTTACAAAGTTTCTCTCTGCTGATCCTGTGGAGATGCCAGATCCTTAAGGAAACTTCATGGTGCTTTTCTTCTGAATATTTTCACAATAACAATTGTTTTATGTTTAATGCAACTCACAAGTGGTCCACATATTTTCAAAATAACAATGAATACAAAGTTACCTAATATAGTAACAATACAGAAAGCACTTCCTGTGTTCTCTCAAAAGTGAGGAGACTTGCGGTGAAGGGAGACGCGTTGAACTCATATTTACATATGGCTCATATACTTTAACATTCTTCCTCATTCATTTAACATTAGAATTGGGCATTTCCCCCATGTAATTAGATTCTTTTCAAAGATCTCTGTTAATGACTCTATAATATCCGCCAGGGGCATGAACCTTAATCTTACTATCCATTTTCCTCCTGTTGATACTTTTATTGTCCTCCAAAATTTACAGTCCCTAGACAGACATGACACTGTGAAGACACTGTGAAGAAAACACTGTGTGTTTTATGTTATGTGATAACATAAAAATTTTGTCTGGGTCATTATTCTGAGGCAAAGCTGCTAACAACAACACGCTCTACTCACCAGCCTCGGCCAGCGCCGCAGCCACTTCGTTCTGAGTGGAGTAGATGTTGCACGCGGACCAGCGGCACTGAGCCCCCAGGGCGCAGAGCGTCTCGATCAGCACCTGGGCGGACGTAGCGGAGGGCAGGGTGAGGGAGAGGAGGGCGGACAAGGGGCTGACGAGGAGGCCATACCCAGCAACTGTGGCAGGCGCTACATTGGGAAGTTGCTAGAGGGCGCACCCCGGTGAGACTGCACGTTGCTATCTAACAGTAGTTTCTGAAAGTCTCAGTAACAATCCTGTTTCTGCAAATCCAGAGCGGCCTTTGTTAAATCAGGTTTGTTAAAACAGGTTACACCCATACAAACAAAGTAGAAAGCCCCCTTACTGTGTAACAGGGAGGTCCTGTCTAATAGTTGGTAGCATTTGAATGGATGGATAGATAGGGAACAAAAAGCAAGTAAAAGAAAAAGGTGCTTTTCTTCCCTCCTCAAGAGAAGTCCCTTTGTTTTCTCCCAACAAACTCACCGCAGTCTGGGCTGTGATGTGTGTACAACCCACTATTTTAGCACCAGCCAAGGGCTTCTCCCCCTGAGCACGTTTCCTGAGTGAAATCAGAGCAGACATGTCTGTGAAAGAACAGAGGGTTTGAGCTAGGCCTGCACGGGCAACAGCATCAACTCCTGCCCGGGCAACAGTGAGGGCGGGTCCGGGTCCGGGGCGACGGGGTGCCGGAGTTAGAGAAACCCCGAGCCTGTTTCTGGGATAACTGGCAGCTTCCACAGCAAAACGACAGTGGAGGGCTGTCATCCAACCACTTGGAATCTCTCTCCTCTCCTACGGTTTCAGGCTTATATGCAAAGGACTAAGCAGAGAATGAAGCAAATTCTCAAAACTGATGGAATGGAGGCTGAGTCCCACCCTCCGTTTGGGAGAGGGGCATGGCCAGGCGCTGGCTAACAGACTCCCAGGCCTCGCGGCCGCAGCAGGAGGAAAGCCTTCCCCTCAGCAGCAGCCACTTGCTCCCGTTCTTCTCCGGCGGCTAACCCTATCCTCCCAGGCTCTTTGGTTTCCATTCTCCCTCCCAGCACACCACGTGCCTTCACTGGGAGAGCACCACAAGAATGAGGAGACCTTACTGGACGTGGGATGGAGAAACTGAGACTTAGCTGTCAGTCACTTCTGCTCTTGCTCCAGCAGAGGGTGCTCAGGACCGAAGACTAAATGAGACCCTGACGACCCTGCTGCTTCTGGGAAAGCTGGGCCCGGGAGCCAGGCGCTGTGGCAGGGTCCTGCAGAACTAACCGCGGCACAGCAGCGGTCCCAGGCTTGCTGACTCGCAGCTAGACCCCTGGATGTGGTGCCATGGGGGTGGGGGCGGGGCGGGGGGGACAGAAACAGCTCCAGGCATTACTAAAAATGCTGCGAACAGGAAGCAAGGAGGACAAGAACAAGAATCCTTGGGGCCAAGCTCCATACACAGATCTGACTGTACAGAAGTCTGGGATACTGGGTTCTCCCAGGAGACTTTCAAGTTAGCTTTCAAGCCACAGGTTGTTTGCGGATCCCAATGACCAGCAAGCAGTTGCTTCTGGTCCCTACCCACTCCCTCCCTTTACCTTGCTCCGCAATCTCAATCTCCCGGCGTCCGAACTCGGCCTGCTTGATGTTCTTCACGCAGAAATTGCTGCTGCCCTTGGAGTTGGTTTGCTGCTTCTCTCGGGGGGAAACCTCGTCATCAGAGCTATCTGTGTAGGATGCAGCTAGAGCCAGGAAAGGGAGAAATGGGGACAGCAAAACCTCAGTGGCCCCAACTCCACAGAGAGTGGTCCCCAAGGGACTCTCGTTTACGTTAAGCCCTCACTCGTCAGCCACCTTGACGTCCCTCTCAGCTGCGCTCCTCCCGGGTCTACCAAACGGCAGGAGCAGAGCTGCGGGGCCCCTCGGCGCTTGGGCCCTTACGCCCACCCTGGGGGGACTCTGCCATCCGTGCCTGTGATGAGGAGCTACCGACTCCCATCTGGCAGCAGTTCCAGTGAACCCCAGGCGATCAGGGTACTGCGTCCCCACCCGAACTGGAACCAGACATGGCAAAAATGGAAGACTAATTGAGGGCACATAAGGAATGCCATTTCTACAGATCTCCGGTCTGAAACTTAAGCTCCTGAAGCATCTAGGTCCACGCCCAGAAATCCCATTCGGAAGGTCGCGGGTGGGACCCAAGATCTGGCATTTCTAACAGGTGCTCAGGTGTCGCCCAGAGGACCACACTCTGAGGGCCACAGATACGGACCAGAGTGTAAGGTGGTCTCGCAAGGGCTCTTACACCAGACGGTGCTCAAGGAGCACAGCGACGGAAAGATGACACAACAGGGGAGCTGCTCCGGTTCTAAAAAGCAGTTTCACGTAAAAACTCCGAACTGTCCTTTCAAACAGAGACCAGAGACGCAGGAGGCTATACAACCACCCCTCCCTACCTCTCAAATCACCCCTTCCCGTCTGAATGGAGCGCTTCCCGACCACCGTCCCGCCAGGGCACTGGGGCTCTCTGACTGTCCTCCGTGCACTGCTAGCGACAGACACAGCCACTGCCCTACTAGGGCCACCTGACCACATCGCTAAGCTTTTAAAAATGCCCTAGGAGGTTCCCGAAACTCACGGCCATCGAGCTCTCTGAGGCCTCTGTTACCGTGTTCGCCACTCGTTCCACGCTTCCCCTCTTAGACCTCAGTCCTCCCCAGTTCCTTCTTCGTTAGCTCTGAGCAGCCTGCTTGTCACCCACCACCTTTCGCATCTGTCACTCCAAGACACCACTTCATTGGATAGCCATTGTATTTGGACCCTCTTCTCGCACACGGGCCCATGGTGAGTCTGTATATTCCTTTATTTCAGTACTTAACCTTGTATACCACCATTTGCCCTTGTCTGATCAGTGGCACATGGCGTGGAATAAGTTTTTAAAAATTTGTTTGTTTCTTTCTTTACATTTCTTGTACCTCAAGCCCAGTCCTTAATGCTAATAAGACAATACAAACAATACTCTGGCAAAAGACAATGAATGGCTTTGGTGCAAATCTCCTGGTTGAGATCAATGGCAGCCTTTGCCTGGGGGCAAGCTTCTGCGTCTTCTGGCCCTGCCTCCCAGCTCAGCACGGGGGCTGAATGAGGTGCCCTGTGCCCCTGCGGTGCTGTGTGCCTGGCACACAGACCCTTGGCCTCTATGCCCTTTCCCAGTTAACCTTCTAGCAGGTGAGAAGGGCCTGAAAGACTCACAGGGAGCCAAGACAGAGGAAAGGACTAAAAAGAAACAGAGCGGGGGCCACGTGAGAGTGGCCTGAATCTTTCCCACTCCAGAGGCTAACAGGGGAAGACACTTCCACAGAAAGGATACCCTAGTAAAAGAAAGGAGCCAAATTGCTGATTTTTATTTTTATAATTCAAGCAGTCTTGGAGACAAGGAGGTAGAAGATAGGAGGCAGGGTGTAGTCTCATACAAAGAAATGAGAAATTATACTTTCAAAATGCACCTCTTTTCAAGGCCAGTTCTGTCAGCCAAAATACCATTGATTTTTCCTCCTCTAGTAATGTGGGCGGACGAAGAGATGACCGTGGGAGAGGGAACCGGCCCAGAACTACCAACGGGGCCCTGGCCACAGACCACACACAGAGAACCGGCAGGGGAAGAAAGGACGAGAGTGTTCCCAGCGACAAGGCTGGCTGGGAACCACCCCACTGCCCAGGAGCACAGCCGGGCAGCCCGGCAGGAGGTGCTTCCAGCGGGGAGGAGCCCGGGGAGAGCGCGGCTCCGGCTCCAGGCGGGCGGAGAGGCGGGCAGCACGCACGTTCTCACCCACCTGAGCTGTAGCTGTCAGTAGACGACTGAGAGATGGACCGAGACAGAGATCGGCGGCCTGTCTTGGTGGGGAATTTGGTGAACTCCTGCATGTCATCGGCAAACTGGATTTGCTGTGAGAGAAAGGTAAGAAAGTTGAAAGTTTACAAGGGTTCTACGAAATGTTCCATGTTTACAGGCCACACGGTGTCTTCCCTACAAGCTGCCGTCATGGAGCTCCTGCCACTAAGCCAGCAACTATTCCCACGAGAACTGCGGGCAGCCGAGGCTACCTTCTGTCTCTTACAAAGTGACAGTTACTGTCTCTGCCAACTGCTTCAGCAGAAATCTTGGTATCTGTCCAATTTCATAAATTTTCCTTTCCATATCCCATAGTTTTCTTTCCTCTTATAACCTTGATACATATAAACCCTTTAACCTTCCTCCCAACTCATTCAAAACCAGCCGTAATCTCCTAGTGCTTTGGCTTGTTTTTTCTTTTCTTCAGAATATTCTCTTGAAGCACATTCTTATCCTGAAGATCGCAATGTCGTCTTTTTGGAAAGAATTACAAAGAGCTGTCTTGTAATGGTGACAAGCACTGGGGTGCCACCCCGCTATTTCACGAAGCAATGTAGTATCCCAGGACCTTCCACAGCCAGTGAAATACCAGAATATACTAATGAAAGAGAATTTAAAAACATTTACACACCACAGTACATTCTACTTTGGACTAATCTGAAGAAAGGAGAAAGTTATGGCTTGGTAAAACTCTGTATTAAAAACTTCCTTAAATGAAATAAACCAGAACTCAGTAAATGTCTGAAAGATACTTGGAAAACTGGCTTTAATAAGCAGCAAACAGTTTATAATTAATATTATTCATAGGCAAATTAATGGATGTTTCTCAAGTGTATGAAAACACTTTCTTCTATAAACCTTCCTCCTGAGTTCCTATTTTAAACCCTGATAAATCCTTTTTTTAAAACACAAGCCTCCTGAAAAACAGAATGAGCTGAGAATCTGAATTGAGATTTTCCTCACAATCTGACTAAACCCGAAAATGTTTCCATGGAGAATCCATTAAGCTAAGTCACCAGCAAACACCTCTGGAAATGTAAGCTACCGCAGGTTAAAATCTTCCCTCCATAATGCTGGCAACATGGTTACAGCCACTTTGAAGCCAGGAACAGTAAACTGCCCATTAGTTACGGGTCCCAAACGCCCCCTCCTCTGCCACATGCACCCTCCAGCCAGGGCCGCACCAGCGGCACCTAAGAGTCAGGCTTCCATGCGCAGCCTAGGCACAGGCAGCTGGTGGGAACAATCAGTTAGCGAGTTAGTAGGTCTCCACAGGGAATGGAGTCGTAGTCAAGGGGACACAGATTTGGGTTTTCACATCAAGAACGAAAGCAGGGAACCGCCACGCAGTAATAGCTACTATTTTAGGGCTGCAGGCGTGAGAGAAAATCCCGAGTGTACTTCCACTTAAGTCCCACCCTGGCTCAACGTCCAACTGGGCTAGTGTTTTTCTTCAGGCTGCTCTAGAAATGAGGAGGTGGAGTCCACAGCCCGTGCTATTGTCTCGGGACAGATCATATAGGCAGAGAAGGGAAATGGCTACAGATTCTGCCATGCAGCCCAGGGCCTTACACATAGACAATGTTCAATAATTATTTATAGGATAAGTGAACCTTGCAAATGTCTTTTTTTCCCCATAAGATCAAATCAGTAAAATTTCAGAAATAATTATAAAGATTCAAGCTAAACATATAATGCACCAGAATTTCTGAAGCATCTCTTTCACTTTAGGTGCTAAAACTTTAAATAGCTTAAATGTCAAAAGCACAACCACCTTTCAAGAAAAAAAAAAACCCCAAAAACCAAAAAAACAAACAAAAAGAAACCAAACACCAAACTCATTGAAGTGGCCACCGCTCAGCACCTGCCTTTCTAGACTCCTAGGCAGGACTTCCCACTGAGTGTTCACATGACTTCTGCAGTCAGCAAAGCTAGTTTTACCAAAGGGACAAACACAGGACCAAGGTAATGACTTTCATCCCAACGCACATTTTGGCGGCAAGAAAAGATACACGGTCACAAGGCCATCGGTGCCCCTGGCCCCTCTCGGGGCCTCCTCGCTCCCCCAGCAGCCCGTCGGGAGCGGCTCTCTATCCCTGGCTGCTTCCGCTCCCTCCCCTGTTCATCTCTTTTCAAAAGGTTCTCGGCATATTCCCAGGCACCACCTACCAGGGGTGGGGGCGGGATCTGCAGTAACGTGCAGTTTTTTAATAAAAAAATAGAGGGGCAGCTGTGCAAGATAGAAGTGCATTTCTTCAGCACCCTAAGAACTGAGTCATACTCCACCTCGTGTGTTTTATTAATACAGCTCATCAGTCGCCTAAGCTTAGCAAATCTTTCCCATCTAAAAACATTAGACTGTGAAAATAAAAATAAAAATATTAGACTGTGGTGCAAGCAGCTTATGAATCAGTGCAGAGCCCTACCTCACAAACGATAAATATGGTCCATCCTTGGAGTGGGGAGAATGTGAGCTCAAGCCGTGACACGGAGGGGTGGCTGTCTATCCTTGGAGCTCTTTGATATTTGTACTGCTTATAAATAAGGTGGTCCGGGGACACAAAGATGCTCCACGACGTCACCCCCCCACCCCCGACCCCCCAGGAGCTCTGCCTTCCCCCTGGTGAAGCGCCTCCTGGAGTGTTGTTCACCTTCACATGGGAAACAAAAACACTGTTGCCAAAAGCAGTGTTCCGACCAGCACAGATTTTCTCGGTAGTGAAACCAGAGCTCCGAAACAGCCTTCTAACTGGGTAGGCCTCACTGCACTTAAGCCAAATATGATCAGTTAGGTAAAAACAAAATCCAAAGTTGTTCTCTTTACAGTACTTCCATTATCATGATTCTTCCAATCACTCACAAGTCTTAACTGGTGTCCTTTCGAGTTTCTTTAAATCCGAATCGGTAGGGAAATGCTAGGACCGAGTATGACGTAGGGTGGGGAAGTGGAGGAGGGAAAAGCAGACAGGTAGTTGAAGTCCGAAAAATATGTGAAAATCAAAAAGTCTTGTTAAAGAACTGTTTGTCTGGATACTCACCACCCCATAAAACAGCCTTGTTCACAACATGCACACTAGCATTCCATTCTTGAACTACTGCCACATCTGAGAGAAGCTAGAAGGTCAGATTGAGCCATTCTCCAAATAGCACATCCAAATACAGAAGTCTACTTGCTGTGCCTTAAAAATTCAGTTAAACATCAGGCCAATTTAACGTGCTATTTTAGAGCACGTCTTCAAATAGCTTAGTGGGCACGAGAGTTAACCCTCTTCCATGCCTCACTGAGGATGGTAAAAAGCTCCGGGGAAAGAAACAATCTGGCGTATGGTGCGCCCACCGCCTGGTGGAGAGTCCGGTGACAGAGTGAACTGAACGGACTGCTGCACAGAACGCACCAAGAAAAAGGGGTCGCAGACAGACCCAAACAGCTGTTCGCTTCCAGAGAGGAAAACTGGCTGTACACCAAGCACTCAGCTGATCCTCACTGATACCTGCTACCATCAGAGGCCGAGACTTTTACTTCCACACACAGCAGGCTCTATCTGCTCAGATGTTAAACAGCTTAGCTATACTTACTTCCCAGGTCCCACCCAACGGTGCGGTCTAGCTCCTGAGTCAGAGAGGATTAAAAACCACCCGGATTCCACTCTGACACGCTGGCCGAGGGACGGCGATCAGGGTAACTCTCACGGAGTATGTTCTTCTGGTCAACCCGTTTGGCAGGCGCCAAGCACGCAGTGCCAGGCCAGGAAAGGTCTGCGGAAGGAAATGCGGCCCCTTCCGACCTGCAGACGTGTTCTGGCCCACAGTGTGATTAATGCCAACACAAACGGTCTTGTCCTAGAGCTTGACTGCCTCTTCAGGAGCGTGCTACATACTGTTGTCTTCACAGCCTTCCCTGGGTAATTTTTAAGTCAGGCCTCCAAAAACCAGAGGTTAAGCTAGACAGTTTATCAAACCTGTTATTTCACATGCCTATCTAGCAACTTTTAATTTCCTCAGAAAGGTTTCCTCCTGAGGCTGAAGAACTAAACTCCAGGTAAACAGCAATTATTAGGAAAACAAATCATTAAGCAGGCGCACTCTGGACGTTGGGAGAGGGAGCGGCCTTTCTCCCTGCTGAGGGTCATCCGGAACGGCCGCATCCCTCTTCCTTCCCGCACACCGAGACAGTCCCAAATTTCCTATATAATCTGCACCACGGGCTCCTCTAGCTTACGTGTGTACCGATTTTACTGTCAAAAAATAAATAAATAAATAAATCAGGATCAGCATATTTCTTGGCTAACACTTAGCAACTGAGCAAACAGTGACTATGAGGAGCTAGAAATGTTAACCGGTCAGTCACTGCGCCGCTGGCTCCCGCGGCTCCCAGGACACCCACCTCACCCTCTGTCAGCCCCTTTCACCACCTTCCGGCTGACGTTCTCTCTCTCTCTCTCTCTCTCTACTCCAGAGGTTCTCCTCTCCCCCGCTCTTTTTTCAGGGGGGAGGAAGAGGGTAGGACCGTCAGCTAAACAGGTGTAAGACCTTTTCCTGATACTTACCCCTCGTCTGTCTGACTCCCATATCAGATGAATCCAAAGAAACCGTCATCTACAAGTACCAGCTTCTCGGAAGAGCTATGTGAGTTCCAACATCCTTCACACTTTCAACCCGGTAGAAGAAACGTCCCTAAGACGAAGGGCATCCCCTTCCCAACACGCTGCCTTCAGGCACACCACCAGGAAACAGTTCACCTCACGGGACTCGCACTCAGGCCACAGGGTCGAATCTGCCGCCCTCTCCAGTCCCCGCTTCCAATCCCAGAGCAGAAACCGGTCTTCCGAGACACCAGGTCCTCCCTCCCCGTCTTGGGTTTCTTAAGTTCTCAGTTTCCCCAGACGGGGGCCTGAGTGTCGGGGGTGGGGAAGGGAGGCAGGGAGCAGGCAAGCTAATCACAGCACGCGGCCCCTCCCCCAGCCACCCGTCTCAGTGTCTCAGCAGTAAGAGGATGTAACACACACCGCCAGAATCCAATTCCAGTCAGAGAAACACTCCTTTCAAAATGGGATTCAACTTGATGTTTCCTCAGTGCTGGGCGGAGGGGGAGAGGCAACGCCAGGCCCACACTGCTGAGTCACTGAATGGAGAGGAAGGAACGTAAAGCTTGAAACCCTCGGCCAGAGCAGCTCTACCCTTATCACCTACTCCGCTCTCTCCACAGGAGACAACACTCCTCACTGGCTTCTGTTATCGCCTGACGTGATCGAGTAAGAATGGGTGATCAGGCCTCCAACTGCCAACTACAGGTAAAATGAAGGGGTTAAAAACGACTACAAGTAGGGAGGAAGGGCTTCCTCATCTTTTGAAAACCACAGTTCACCGCGGAGCATAACACACATCCGGACGATGTTTCGATGTCTATTTAGCTATCGACCTGTCCATACCTGTCTCGTCCTCAAGCCATGACCAGTATGATATGAAAACATGCCATTCCTCTTTGTCATCAAATTCGATGTTCAAAAAAATTTTTTGTACAGGCAACTGAAGAAATCTGGGTCACTGGGACATCCCATGACTTCAGCAACACACCGAAGGGGCCCCCCACCCCCGCTGGCGCACTTTCTATTATTATGATCATTTGCAACATACCAAGATTTTCTAAAAACAGTGTAATGAAACCTACATGCTCTCCACCTAGACTGAATCTTTCCACTTTCCATATTAGGTTTCTTCCTCTGTATATACAGACACACAAATGCAAACTTTCAAATGGTACTACCAAAAAAAAAAAAAAAAAAAAAAAGGTGGTAGGCATGAAAATTCACCAGTAAATTCTTCAGAATGCACCTTCTAAGAACAAGGATTTCTCCTACAGACCCACGATAACAAGAATATTGGCACCGATCGCTATCATCGAACATCCAGTCCACACTCAAACTTCTCCGTCACAGCTGCAGACCCGACAGCCCCGCCAGCACTTCCAACGCAGGAGGGAATCGAGGTTCACCAACCGCATCTGGCGTTAGGGCCCTTCCGCTTCTGCTCAGCGGGGAGAGTCCTCCTGCCTTTTCCCCTCCCCTCGCGATGCTGACTTTTCTTGAGGAGTCAGCGCCCACTTACAGAATCTCCCATATTCTGAATGTCTCATGTTGTTTCCTTCCCGTAAACTGGAAGTTCAGTTTTGAGGTTCGATCAGAAAAAGGTTAAAATTTTGGCAGGAATACTTCATAGATGATGTTGCACATATACGTCGCTTTGCATCTTATCAGGTGACACAGCATCAGGTTGTTCCACTGTCGGTGATACAGAACTGCACCCTTGGTTCAGGACCGTCAATGTCTGAAAGGTCTATTTTCTCCTTTGCAAGTAAAGGTTAATTTTTGGAGTGACACTTGTCAGCCTGTGAATATCCTGCTCCCTGGCGACTTTGCCATCTGTTCCTAATCTTGCCTGAACCAGCTCCATTGGGGTGGAGGGGGGCATATAGAATCATGATTATTTCTTTCTTATCATCTTTCCCCAAATATATTACCTGGCATTCTTTGGTAAAGAAAAGCTTTTTCCTCTCTTACTTTTTCTTTTTCACTTGTCATTCATATTTTTATTTGTTCAGCGATACGTTAATCACACAGGGGAGCCTCCTTCAGGCGGACTCTCCTGCCATTTTGACAGGACCCCGTTTGAGCACTTCCTCCCTGACCTAAGAATATACACCAGGCTCACCTTGTCTTTTTCTGCTTCAGACCCAGAAGCAGCCATTTCTCCAAGCCCTGACTCCTTGCACTGGGGAGTGGCCTTTTCAAACTGACCATGGTAGAAAGTGTGCTGATTGCTGTCAGAGGTGTCGGTACTTCAGGTTCGTTCAGTGGAGAGCAAAACCAATCTTTCCGTCTTACTCATGAATTCATATTGATATTTCCATTTTAAATTTAACATGACCACTTTTTAAAACTTTTAACTTTTCTATATTTATTGCTTTTCTCACGTTAACAATCTTGGTCTCTGACAGAAGTTAAATGGGTAAACCTTACTGCCAGGTATGCTGGTGTAATCTTTAAGATGACAACTTGTCAACTGCTTACAAACAGTAAATCTGTATTCTTCAAATGGATTTTTATGTGGGGGGAAAAAAAGGTAATTCCAAAAGCAGGCTATCAGTGGACAACTCCCAAAGGAAGATGGAGTCTCTCTGGCATCCCGGAAGGTGGCTGCACAGACTCAGTAAATGCTGTACGTACCGTGTCTTAGCCTCCCAAGAAGGAACACAAGTGGAGACGTGTAATAACAACTCTTTTTTTCCTTGCTCTGGGAGTCTAGCTTAGGTGTAGCTGAAATCCAATTACATCTGACAAATTCAAACCCACTTCACATATATGCTCGAGTGAGTGAATCCCACCTGGAAGTCAGCTCAGCATGCGGGAAGGCCACATCTAACTAGAGGGGGACGACATGCAAGTCCCTGCCAAGCAGTATATGGCAGAACTACAAGCAGCTCCCAGTAAGGAGCCACCTAGTCCACGCAGATCAGCTTTCTGAGCCCTAGACTAACACCTAAGAAAGCTGAGCAGACAGAAACCATATCGGTTTTACAGTTAGCATCCACCCATAAAGTAGAGGCTCAAGGGAGGAAAAAGCTATCAGACTCAACACTAAATAAAACAATCTGATTTTAAAGACCTACTGTTAAACAGTAACTATGCAGTAACAGTTATTGTGAGTGGGACCTTTCAGAATCCATTCTGCAGTGAAACTGGATAGTTCCAAGTCCAAAGGGCAAGGTGAAGTTACTTTGAAGATCAACTCGCTGCAGTTGTTCTAGTATCCACAGCCCTTAAAAAAAAAAAAAAAAAGGCCTCTAGGAGAGACTACAGACACACTATATGTACAAGAATTTATCAAAGATAATCGGTCATGTCAAAAACATAACTATTTTTCATTCTAGAGGCGATATTTGCCATTCTTCTTGATTTTCTAACTTGAGATGTGTATGTTCAATTTTAGATAAAAGTCTCAGTATAAAGTCAGGATCCTGGGTAGCCTATAAGAAGCAAGCTGGCTGAAAGGAACTGTCAGGGCTATTTAAAAGGAACAGTTACTTTTGGCTCAGAGTGAACCCCGTACCTGCGCCCCCCGCCCCCCCATCAGAATATAGAGGTCTGGGTTTTCTTGACTTAGGACTTGCTGAACAGCCATTTTCTAATGAGCAAGGTGGACAGACACACAAAGATAAAACACCTCTTGCTTGAGGTTGTATGGCAAACCAAAAGTCAAAATCAAGTTTTGTACAGGAAGTTATTCAACGTATTTTATCAATAAATAACACTGCTAGAATACCACTGATCTATTTTCAAACCGTTTTTTGCTTAAATCTTGACATAAAGATAACAACTAAAACCACCAGTAAACTGGGACTTTCACTTAAAGCTGATTCGAGGTTTGAAATCCGTACTTTCTAGTATTGTGAACACCAAGGCCTGAGTGCCTAGGTTTCTCCGACTCTCTAGTTTAGGAGCTCTGCCTAATGTTAGCAGCTTATGGCTAGGACTTCCTTATACTAGAGGATTTGTATTTTTCAAAACATTCTGGAACCCTGTGGGTGCTCGATCTGCCCTTCACAGATGGCCCAGCACTATTATCCTTTTGGAAATGACTGCTTTCCCTTTATTTTCAAGGGGTTAGTTTACAACAGTGCACTAGGCACTGAAGCCTTCTCAGCTTCCAACAGCGGATGAAGGCTTGTCAGCTTAGGGAAGGAAAAGCATCCTCTGAGTTCCAAAATCTAGGCTGATGTGGGGAAGGAGGGCAACAATGCAATGAAATGTAATACTTGGAAGTGACCAATGACTTGCCATTAGGAGGCACTACCGCTTAGCCTTGGATAGGGTGAGGGGACAGGGAATGCAGAGCCCAAACATGCGTTCTGGCATGTGCTTCCCTCCACTCTGGGGACAGAGGAGGGAGAGGTGTGGGCGGCTAATCCTGACCAATTCACCAGCACGAAAGAAATGACCCAGAATTTCCTACGCACATCAAAAGCAATTTAGCAATACAATCTGGATTTATTCATAGAAGGTTTTCAATTTGGTGTGGTTCATGCTGGCCAATGATTTTTTTTTGGGGGGGCGGTTACCCAAGGAACTGGCTATTTTCATAAGAAATGACCATCCTTTAAAGCAGGCAACAAAAAATACATTTGACATGCGGTTTTTAAGGTACTTTATTTATCCTATGCAGAATGGTGATGGGGAACTTTTCTTTCACACTAATACTTAGTACAATGAGACAACATGCCCTTAAATTGAGAACATTCTAGGGGGTTCCTTTCTCATCTCTAGCGTGCCACTCAAACAGTACCCACTCCAAGTCACCTTGCACCTTACAAAATGTCTCGAAGATCTAACGAAGAGATTTTCCCAACACAAAACAAGTTATATTAAATTTGGGGACCATCAAGTAAAATTTTTTTCAAAAACCACATTTTGTTTCTCACTCTCTGGTATCACTTCTCTGACTCCACTACAACCAAAACACATTCTTGTAAGGGTGTTGATTTTATTAAAGTATGCTGGGTTTAAATAACATAAGTGATTACTGAATCTTGGTTTCACATCCATGATCGACATTTATTTGAAGTACTCAATGAATGAAGAAAAAAATTCTGGTTACAGGGTTTTTAAGAACAGAATTTTTCTACAAACTGAGTAGCAGACTTTAACAATGTAACTTCACAAGCTGAAGAGAACCTCTAAACAGACCCAGGAAGGGAGGCCTCAAATTCCTTTCATCTTTTTTTTATTATTATTTTAATCCTCACCCAAGGATATGTTTATTGATTTTCGAGAGGAAGAGAGAAACATCAATGTGAGAGAGAAACACGGACTGGCTGCCTCCCACAGGCACCATGACCAGGGATCAAACCCACAACCCAGCTATGTGCCCTGACTGGGAATCGAACCTGCAACCTTTTGGTGCATGGGACCACGTTCCAACCAACTGAGCCACCCGGGCAGGGCCTTTGATCATTTTAAAGGTCTTCTTTAAAAGCACAAAATAAAGATGACTGGGTGTGATGATTTCCCCTGAGATTAGGTAGTTCTG